CACCAGGGAATTCCCTCAAAGTGTTAATTTTTGATTAGCAGAGACACAGAGCATTTTCAGGATCTCTTTCTTCATAAGCCAGGAAAACAATGTCCACTTTGACACTGTAAAATCCTCTCCTTTGGCTATTTTGAAAAACCTACCGGAGTTTCAAACTTGTTAAAAACCCATCCGTATCCTGAACTAACTGCTAAATTTAATCCAGAAAAAAGGTAATGTGCAAAACTAACATCTGAAAAGAAAACCTCTCCTTTTCCCCGGCCAAAGTTTCATTTAAAATATACTGGGAGAGCTTTCCTGGTGGCGCAGTGGTTAAGAATCCGCCTGCCAATAAAGGAGAAACGGGTTCGAGCCCTGGTCCAGGAAGATCCCACATGCCGCGGAGCAACTAAGCCCGTGGGCCACAACTAGTTAGCCTGCGCTCTAGAGCCCACACGCCACCGCTACTGAAGCTTGCGCGCCTAGAGCCCGTGCTCCGCAACAAGGGAGGCCACCGCAATAAGAAGCCCGCGCACCGCAACGAAGAGCAGCCCCCGCTGGCTGCAACTAGAGAAAGTCCGCGGGCAGCAACGAAGACCCAACGCAGCCAAAAATAAATATATTAATAAATAAATCTATTAAAAATATAAAATATATTGGGAAATCTTACTTTATTTCTGCAAGTTGATGGCGTCCTCCAGATCACTGCGCGGGCAACAAACTTAAGACCTTTGTTCCAAATCAGGTCAGGTGCCTAATGCATGTTGGGATTTGTAGTTCAGGTTCCTCCAGTTTTTAGAAAATAATTCGCACATTCACATACTTTATATGTAATGTGCTGCCATCTAGTGGAGCTCAGGTAGAACTGTTAACTCCAATTACGTAGAAGGTGAAAAGTAGAAAAGCATCTTACTTAGAATGTTGAAACCATTTCCTTCACTAATTTAACCTAAGTCCTTCTCTCTTTTTTTTTTTTTTTGTTCCGGTACGCGGGCCTCTCACCGCCGCGGCCTCTCCCGTTGCAGAGCACAGGCTCCGGACGCGCAGGCTCCGCGGCATGTGGCATCTTCCCTGACCGGGCCACGAACACGCGTCCCCTGCATTCGCAGGCGGACTCTCAACCACTGACGCCACCAGGGAAGCTCCCCCCCCCCTTTTATTAGCACCTACTATGTGCTGCTCTGGGAGCACTCAAAGATTGAATGAGCCAGGAATTGCATGTGGAAGTTAGCAACAAAATAGAAGGAATGCAGGCCACTGAAGATACTGGAGCCTTCCTTTCTGGACCCTGACCTAGATAGTTCAGAGGGAGGGAAATAAAAATTCTCTTGTGCTTTTTAAGGTATAAGTACAGTTATTTTGGCACAGGCAGTCTATTCTATCACTAATACATACTTAGTGGCAGAATGCAGGCATCCTGAGTATACTGAGGGGGTTGAGTCTGGGGAACTTCAAAGTGCATTGTTGGGTAAGAGCAAAAAATCAGGTTTGGCTGAAGAGAACAGAAATATCAGATCAAAAAGAACGGACTAGATCCTGTGAGCCCTCTCTAGAGGCTTAGTAACTCACCACTTTATCAGGTGTGTAACTGAGCCGAGACTGTGTAGGCTATTTTGTGTATGTGCTATTTAAGTAGGGCTTGCTCAACACCCACCCAACTGACTTCCCCTGCCTTTTACTTTGTAAAGGCTGGAAAACAACTATCAAATTCCTAGCCTTCTTTGCTACTAGAGCTGGCCAATGAAACACAGGCTGCAATCTCTGAGGTCTTCCTTCTTGGATAAAAAGATGATGCCTCTCTGAAAGGCTTTTGACTTTTGCTCCTTCCCTTCTTTTCTCCTGGAATGCATCTGTGATGCATAGGGACATGGCAGCCATGTTGTGACTTGGTGTGAGGTCAGACGCATAAAGACAGCAGGGTGAGAGAAGGGACCTGGTTCCTTGAAGACAGCCTCAAGACAACAGCCCTAGACTAACTCCTCTGGATTTCCTATGTGAGAAAAATAAACTTCTTTCGATCACTTTTTTGCTCTTGGAGCTAAGTGTATTTACAATAGTCACAGTGGCTCAGAACAAAGACTGTGAAGTCAGAAGGATAAAGGTAAGTCCCACGTCTTTCCCTCACTAGCTAAGTCACTTAACTATAAATCTCAGTTTTCTCATCTTTAAAATAGTCATAGCACTTACCTCAGGGATGTTGTGAGGAAGGACTCGGCATGTAAAACCATCAGTACAATAAGTTACACTTGCACTTAATGATTATTATATATTGTTATAATGGATAGCAAACATTGCCCTTTAAAAATTAAAAAAAAAAAACCAACCCAAAAGTACATTTTGGGGCCTAGACCAATGAGTTCATAGTAGATGGTCTTTTAATATTCACTGAATATGAATGGTAGGCTCTCAGTAATAATTCTGCCAGGCTCAAGAACATGTTTCTTATGAACAGTAAATATATTTTGTCTTCTCTGGTCCTAATTTTGCTTTTCAGATCATTTTAGTATTGTCTGATCATATTACTGCTTTTTAACCTTCTTGCAAGTTTCCATTGCTGATTTTCACTACCATTCCTTCACAAACACTCATCACAATATTGAAACTCAGATCATTAGAAGTTAGCAACATTCCAACATTGATGGAGGAACAGAAGAGCCAGCTCTCTTTCCCCAACAGACACCGACTTAACAACCGTATATGGACTGAAATACTTTTGTGAGAACTTCAGAAGCCCATTAAGAAATTGCAGTACCCTGGGTGAGGGCAAAGCCGAGGACAGCCACACTGAAGCGGGTGAGAAGAGCCATTTTTTACCTGCTACTACCCCTCTCCCAGGCTAGCACAGCTTAGCCCCTGGCTCAGTTTCCCCATCATGGGGACTAGGGGGAAAGAGGAGAGTGGAAGATTCACCCAAAGTTCCAGCTTTTCGAGGGCTGCTTGAGTGACTGGTCACGCTCCCCTACTTGGAGTGCTGATGGAACTGGCATGGTTTGGCACCAGAGAGCCTGCCGTGCCATCAGAGGCTGGTGTGGCTCTGCACAGTCAGGACAACGTGCCCAGCTCGAAGCTTCATCCTTGAGAGGGAGGAAGAAGAGTAGAGTGTGTGTCTGGTGTTCCAGCTTCTTGGATGGCTGCACAAGCCACTGGTTTGTGTTTCGCCTGACTTGGGGTGCTGATGTACTTTGGCTGCCTGGGGGCCAATGAGAAAAATGGGCAGTGGGGTGGCTTCCTGCTGTAGCAACAAAGAACCTGCAGTACTGCAGACAGACACCAGGAGGAAGAGGTTATGAGCTCCTGAAGAAGGCGCTGGCAACCCTCTCAACTTGGCAAATCACACACACAAGCCCAGAGAAGTTGCAATCGCACCAAAAGGTTGATTCAGAGGACCCCAGCATCTATAAATGAGCTCACTGATGGTGCTCCCCTGTACGAAGCTAGAAGAGGTGGCTGTTTTTTCAAATGCATAAAACCCAGCAAAAAGTCAGAAGGCACACAAAGAAACATGGCCCATTCAAAGGAACAAAATAAATCTCCAGAAACCAACTCCAAAGAAATGGCAATCTAAGAATTACCTACCAAAGAATTCAAAATAATAGTTTTAAACAAGCTCAGTGATCTACAAGAGAATGCAGACAACTACATGAAATCAGGAAAATGATGCACGAGCAAAATGAAAATATTAACAAATAAATAGAAACTATAAAAAAGAACCAAACAAATTCTGGCCCTGAAGAATATAATAACCGAATTGAAAAGTTCACTAGAGGGGTTCAACAGCAGACTTGATCAAGCAGAAGAATCAACAAAGTGGAAGACAGGTCATTTGAAATTATCCAGTCAGAGAAGCAAAAAGAAAGAAAAAAGTGAAGGGAGCCTAAGGTACTTATGGGACACTAGCAAGTAGACCAGAAGAAGAGAGACGGGGACGAAGAGCTGATTTGAAGAAATCAATAATGGCCCCAAATTTCCCAAATCCAAGGAAGGAAATGGACATCCAAATTCAGAGTTAAGCAACGTTCTGCTAGACTGGAAACCTGATGATTGATTATATTTTTAATGGCCTTTAAACTAGTTTTATTATTCAGGTGAACGTACCTACTAGACGTCGTAAAGAATCAAACCTGCAGTGCTGTTATAGTGTTCTGTTTGGGTAAGGGTGAAAAGGAGAAACAGGCCCAGGGGAAATTATAGGAGGGGACACTTTCCCCTCAGCCCTAGTGAATCCCTGTGACAGTATGTTAAGATAAGGGAAAATATCCAATCCAGACTTTAGAATGATGGCTATGATGCAATTCATAATCTTTTCCTTTGAATAAATATTCTTACCAAAGAGCCAAGAATGCCTTGAAATCACTAACTCTGTTCTGAACCTTAAGCATCTTGCTGTTCTATGCGGTTTTTCAAAGTTATATGCTATAAAATGTCAAATACTCTCTAAAATGTAGTTCATAACCTCTTGTAGGGTCAGAGACCCCTCTGGGAGTATGATAAAAGCAAGTATGGACCTTAGTACCCTAGAAAAATGAATCCACACACAAAAGTTAACATTAAATTTCAGAGGTTTTACAGCCTACATGAAGAAGTCCACCTTAGAATGCCTTACGTATCTGTGGGGACCCCACGTTTAGAAAACTTTGATGGAAACTCTGGTTGCTGTTTCCCCATGTCTAAAGTGAAAGGGTAAAATAATCTATGTGGTTCTTCCACTTGGGAATAAATGTGCAATCGGGTACAAAGTCTAATAACAAACCAACCAATTTAGAGTGCTTGCATAGGGAGTGGGGTGGTTGGTAAAACACTGAAAAGTGAGGAACAGCTTTTGTAGCTTATCACAGCAAAAGGAAGATTAAAACTAGAAAATGAAGAGGTCGTATCACTTGCTATTCCTTAACAACTTAAGTGTGGAATGCATGTATGTATTTTTACAGCAAAATTCTGAAAGTCAACAAACAAGAAGAGAGCCAAACATACCCTGAGTACCCCACCGAGAAACCATCAGTTAATATTACATGGTGCCATCATTCAGAACTAAGCAAACGTTTATTGAATGTTCAAGGTACTAAAAAGGGAGTCTGTAATTTTGTTAATTAAATGATGTTTCATATTAATTTATGAATCATGCTTTGGAATTCTCTAAGTCACATGTGGATAACTTTACATTAATGAAAAAGTATACATTTTATGTATACGTGGAAAGATTGGAAATTTCCTTCAATAACTTTATTCTTTACAAAACATGTAAATAAATAAAACTATTCAACTTCTAAAGGATTGCCACATTCAAGAAGAAGGTATTGCTATTACCATTCTAAATAACGGGAATGAATCCCGTTCCTTCACCTTCCAATTCTACCGGCAAAGTGAAAACTGAACTGAAATTAAGTTGGACTGTGACATCATTGCCAGGGATAAACGCAGGCATTTCCAAACATGGAACGCTGGGCCCCCAGAAAAGTGACAGAGAGTAATCTACTGAGTCTTGCACTCGGGCACATCTTTTCCAGAGGAGGCATGCCAAGGACCTGGCTGGGGATCCACAGTCTCTGCTCCAGCAATTTGTTCTACTGAGAGGGGGGAAAAAAAAAAAAATCAACAACAAAAGTAATCTTAGTAAAAACATACACAAATCCCAAATACAACTAAAGTGAAAAGGATGTTTGGAGTAGAGATATAAGAAGAGATGTAAGAAGAAGGGAACACAGCACTTAAACATGGTTCATTATCTTGCTTGTTAAAAAACTATATTTCACTTCAGCAGAGTTGAAGTTTTTTTTTTTTAATAGAACTTTATTGGAGTATGATTGCTTCACAATAGTGTGTTAGTTTCAGAGTTGAAGAAGTTTATTCCCCATTTTATCATAAGATGAATTGTTAGAAAAACCATATTGTACATAAAACCAAGAAGTAATAAAGTCTTATTTGGAATTCATCAATTTGAGATTCAAAGTGAACCAAACACAGATTAACTCAGATTTTCTTTTGTCCTATTTTTAGGGGGAAAAAAAAAATGGTGAGCTGTACAAATACTATGTACTTTAGAGAATATTTAGCCATCTTTAAAAAGTTTTCTTTGAGCCTTTAAAAAGCACTTCAACTGCATCTGTTTATAAACAATATCTATTTTCAAATTATTATATTCATGAAGCTAAATCTAGAACAACTGGTCTTGGAAATTATCTTAGGTGTTGAGATAATATAACTTTCCTTTTATAATTAAATCTGTTTAGACTGACGTTTTCCTAGTTCAAGCTGCGACTACGCCCTTTAATCCTGAATTGGTCAGTTCTTGATTTACATAGCCCCCCAGGCTATTCTTTTATTTTACTTAAAAACTGTACCAGAGAGACCCATGTATTGATTAAAAAACGTAAGCATTTTTAGAGGTTGGATTACTTCATGTTATGCATGTGCCTTTGGCACTGTCAGATAAAAATCAATAGGTGATTATAAAACTTTATCAGTGTTTGAATAGACCCTTCTAAAATGGTGTGTGTGTGTGTGTGTGTGTGTGTGTGTGTGTATACAGCAAAAGTTCCATAGAAGTGTTAGCTACTGGAAGGTCCTCAAATGTTTGTTACATACTGTTCAATGAAGTGAATAGTTCAAAATTTTTCCCAAATTGCGTTGTTCCTTCCTATATCTCTAACAGCACTGTCAGAGCGCTGACGTGATCCAATTTTGACGTGTAGTCGACGAGAACAGACTGATTCCTTCTTTGTCACAAAGTAGAGTTCTCATAAACCCTGGTAACCTTTGCTCAGAGCTTTAAATGATCTCTGGCAGCTGCCTCTCTTAATGTACAGTTTTGTTGCTTTAGGTTTCTACAAGTGCATAAAAGGGTGTTTCTGAGAGGCAGATACACTGTCACAAAGGGCCGTGGCCATACACACGTGGGCACATGATAAATGCTATGTGGTGACAAAGACTGAGAAACGCCATATTACAGAGCTTCTCCGGACATGTTCCCCACCTCTGTGTATGGCACCTCCGCAGAGCTGGGGGCGATCCCCGACTCCACCCCAGTCCATCCGATCAGGCACCTAGCACTGCTCATTTTGCCCCCAAATCTCTCCCATCTGTCCACGTCTCTCCATCTCCATTGCACCTGCCCAGGTTCATGCTGTCACCCTTGCCCAGGCAACTGTCAAACTCTTGCTCCTATGATTTGTTGGTTACCTAACATCTGAGGTAATGTTTTCAAAATTTACAAGTCATCACGTTCCCCTGCTATTGTTTAAAGTCTTCCAACAGTTTCCTCTAGATGCCTACAGGATCAAGTTTAAATTCCTTTACACTATCTACAAAGTCCTGCATGTCTGGCTCTGAGCTCTCTCTTTGGCTTCACTGACTACATCCACAGAAGCCTGTGTTCCTTGTGCTCTGGTCACAGCATATTTCTTTCAATCCTTCCCCTGACTGTGGTTCCTCCTACCCTGACGGCGGCTGTCACTGTCCCATCTGCCTGAAATGCTTTTCCCTCCCCTCTTTGTTAAGCTAACTCACATTAACCTCCTAGATCTCAGTTCCCTTTTTCAAGGAAGACTTCTGTAATATTTAAAAAACAACAACCTATTATAAGTCTCATAGCCTTTTGCACTCTAGAATTTTACTTTTTTTGGTCACTTGATTACTGTCTATACCTGTTAGACTATAAGCTCTAAGAGGGCAGGGACCATATCTGGTTTTGCTTATTAATGTACCATTAGGGTCTAATGTGTGACACAGAGTTGAAATAAAAAAATTCTGATCGATTAAATGAATAAGTAAATGATACAAGTCTATGATCTGGCTTGTGTAAAATGAATATAATACTATTGGAAATACTGGCCCATTGAATTGGTAAGAAAATCTTTTTCAGTAAAACTGGTTTTGTTTATAAGGTAGTATCTTTATGGCCTTGGGAGAGTTGCTTGTCCATTCCAGGGGAAAGCTGAGGGTTTAAGAGGCAACCTTCACTTGGGGTTGTTTTCTTGCATTTCTAAAGAAATAATATCTTATTTTCAGATTTGATTTGCTAAGCAATGACTCACAAGTAGAATTTTTACATACCAAAGGGAAGAAAAAAAAAAAAGGCTTCACTTGGGGTAAAAAGTGACTACTGCACTTCAGAGCTGTGCTTTGGAGAAACTTTCCCCCACAGACACAGCAGTGAGGTCTGTGCACTGTGAGCCTGATCAACGCCATCCTCTCTTGTCTACACTTGCCCTGTAGGGATCACACATCAAAGAGAGGTTCCAACCGTTATCCGCCCCCCATCCCCGCCCCATTTCCAAGCAACCAGTATATTTACCTACCTGGGCAAAGGCCTAAACTTGAGTTATCAAAATAGTGAACCGGAGAAGGTACTGGCAAAGACTTTGATCGGCTATCAAAAAACCAAGACTTTGGCGACTCCTTCGGCACAGGATCTTGTAAATTCCTTTCCTTGCACTGAGATGACATATGTTGTCTCTTTTTAGAGGCTGTTCCAGTCACTTTAGGAGACTTTGGAGAATTCTCACAAGTTACTTCTTTGTGAGCCTCTCTTTTAAGGGTTCTCTCCTTCCACGTTTTGACCTCATTGTAAAGATGCTGATTATTGCTTAAATGTGAGGGGTCAGGGCGGGGCGGGTGGGGTGGAGGTGGAGAAAAAAGGAGAACATAAGACTGCAATTCCTGCAACGTACTCATGTTTAAGTTAAAAAAAAAAAAACTGCTTTAAATTGTGGTAAAATATACATAACCTATAATTTACCATTTAATCATATTTATAGTTAAGTTTCAACCTAATGCTTCCTGTTTGGACTGTTTCCACAGTTCAGAAAATGAAATGAGGTCAGTATAGTTTAAGTAATTGTAATAAACCTCCGAAATCATGGAGTTTTGAAAAGAAAGCTCAGAGCATGACATCAGGTTTTTAAACAAATCAGTGATATCGTCCAGAGGTTTATCTGTTGATAATTTGTGGCCATAATTCGGTAAGTCAGTCTGGGTAGATGATTCTAATGTACCTTTGTTATTTTAAAAGAAATAATTCACGGTACTTTTCTGGATTAGTTACAGTCTTGCTTCTCATAGGAAATGCCACCAGCATTTATCCAGTTTCTCCAGACAGAAACCTGGGCAACCATCCTAGAGGCCTTTCTCTCCTTTACGTGAGCCAAGTCTGTTGATACAACCTCATACTTACTTCTCAAATTCGTTTCCTTATTTTTATCTGCATTGGCACCATTCCAGTCCATGCCAAAATTATCTTTTGCTTGGACAACAATAAACAGATTCCTAAATTGGGGCCTCCTATACTGTGATGCTATCTGATCTCAGCAGGCCTTGGCTTAAAATCCTCCAGTGGAATGAATCCTTCCATTGCGTTTTAGGATACCACCCAAACGTCCTCCCAATGACCTTTGGGGCCTGTGTAACCTGGACCAGTTACCTCTGGCATCTCATCTTGCACTTCACTGTCTCAGTCTCTATGCCCTGGCCACAGTGGATGTCTTTCAGTTCCACCAGCTGGTCACCCTTCCTGACTCAAAGCCTGTGCACATGCTGTCCCCTCAGCCTAGAAGGCTTACCCACCTCTCCTTTCACCTGGCCTAATTTCTACTCATTTTTCACATCCAGTCTTAAAGGTCAGTCTCTTGATCACCACCCCTCCCCATACCTAGATAAGGTTTGATCCCTCTGTGTTATACCCTTTCATAATGTCCTATTTTTTGTTGTTGCTGTTTGCTTGATAGCACTCATTACAAAGGATTAGTTATTTGTGGAATTATTTGTTTAATGCCTATTTTTTTCCTCGTCTCATTGGCAGAGGTTAGCACAAGTTTCTAGTCATTGGTAAAAGCCAAATAATTAAATTTGTCAGAACTGTTTTTAAAGTAAAACTAAGCAGGCTACGATAATGAACCTAAGGGGTTCCTCCTTGAGTAAGAGCCTCATTAACTTGGGTATATGGACTTGTGGTATATTTAAGCTGCTCCCTCAGAGATCCTTCTTTACTTCCTAGTTCTTGGCTTAGTTAAAAATAGGTCAACTGACAGATAACCAACATCTGGAATGGTGCTACCATATTCTTATGCCTTTTAAAAAAGACATATTTTATGTAACTTAAAAATTACTTTCTCCGTATGTGTGAAGGATTGCCAACTGCAAAAAACTATTTATGTATGGGTCTATATCATCCTCCCCGACATGTAAGACGTAAGTATAATTTCTATATCGTGTGAGCAGATCTTACCTTAACAGCTCATTCTTTTGCTTTATTAGCTGTTCATTTTGCTGCTTTAACTTGGAAACTTCCTTTTCCAGCCGTATATACTCACTCTTCAGGATAAGAGCTTTCGTGCTTTGTACAATGCCACTGCCACCCCCACAGGTGAAGGGTTTATTTGAAGGCTGAGGATCAGCATGTTCTGATACCACTGTGGGAGGCAAAAATACAGACAGGTGATAATTTTAGTAGTTCCAAATAAAGAAAACATTATGAAAGGTAGTAAGTCACTATAAAAACCAATACACCACCATCTCCCTGGAAGTCATCCTTGCCCACCTCCTTCTCCCTTAACCTCACACGGCTATTTGGTCATCAGTTCTAAACAGCTCTCGAATCCTCCTGCTTCTCTCCACCCACCAATTCCACTCTCATACTCCTGCTGAGATCGTTCACCATCACTGTAGTAGTGGCAATCCTCCCCAGAGCTATCCTCCACTGATCTATCTTCTAGAGCAGTAGAATCACCTGGCGGGTTTCTTCCTACAGTGTGTGTGGGGTCCACCCCTGTCATTCAGTGCATCACAAGTATTCAACACATAGCTGTTCACAAGATAAACCTTAGAATGATATTAGAGCATATATTATTAAGTATTCTACACTGTGTGTGTAAAAGTAACGTAAGGAACTGTTCTGTAAATTTTAGATAAAACCGCATACAAGTGTGAGGTGCTTATGAAATAGAATAATCCACTGGGTCATTGACGATTTATAAAAGGGGGGGAAGGTGTGTGTGGGGAAGATACTCAATGGCCACTTCCTTTTGAATTTTTCTGAATTCAGGGACAATATGTACCTGAAAGTCACTTACAAATCAAGAGTAATTATCCTGACACTTCTGTAACAACGAGGAATCCTCAGTTCTATTTTTATCCCTTGAAGTTTTCCAGATAGGAGCTATGATCATCTTTAACACTATCTCTAATTCTTTTTTGTAAATGAGTGGACAATAATACACACAAATATCATCTTACACTTGCTTGACCTTTAGAATTTTCAGTGTGCTTTGCACACACAACTTTTAGTTTGATCCTTATTATATACATTGCCTTCAGCATTTCACACAGCCCTTAAGTGAGAGCAATCAGTTCAGAGGCCTGTCCCTGACTGCTAGTTCAATGCTTGTCTTACTATACAAAGCTGCCCCAAGTACTGTTCAGCATTTTCTCTTTTCAAATGAAATATAAGAGATAGAAATACAGAAGAAGGTATAATTTGAGAGATATATATGCAGAAATTTGATCATTAAACTTGAAGACTGTTCCTAAGATAAATTTCAAAAAGTTTGCAAGTATGCATCAACTATATTTTCAGTATCAAGAACAAATAGGATAATATTTAGTTATTTTTACTGTGAACTGATAATATTTTTACTGTGCACATGGTTACAATCTATTAAGACATGTGCTTGTCTTTTTATTTGGAAGTGTACTTCTACCCTGACAGTTAAGTCATTCTTTTACAGTGCTGAAGATATCTTCACCAATAGGTAAAGATCTGATTATGCAAAAGTAAAATTTGTATTTTCTAAAAATCTATAATGGACAGACAGTTAAGATTACAGTAAACTAAGGAGATGTCACAGGATAAATATGAGCCCAATGAATTCATTTTAAAAAGAGTTTTTTCTTGGGGCTTCCTTGGTGGCACAGTGGTTAAGAATCCGCCTGCCAATGCAGGGGACACGGGTTCGAGACCTCGTCTGGGAAGATCCCACATGCTGCGGAGCAACAAAGCCTGTGCACCACAACTACTGAGCCTGCGCTCTAGAGCCTGTGAGTCACAGCTACTGAGCCCACGTGCCACAACTACTGAAGCCCGTGCGCCTAGAGCCTGTGCTCCACGGCAAGAGAAACCACTGCAATGAGTAGCCTGCGCACTGCAACCAGAGAAAAACCTGCATGCAGCAACAAAGACCCAACGCAGCCAAAAAAATAAAAAGTTCTTTCTAAATCAGTGATTAACTTAGCTTTATTTTTGACTATCATACCTGTAATAGCAGTCTTCAAAATATGTAAGTGTATTGAAGTAAAATGGAAAGATCGGGAAATATCAGCATTTTCTACTTACTTGAGGTATCTTGGGCCTGTTGATTTCTTCTAAGATTTTCTCTCAATAGCCTTATAACTTCTTTTTGATATTCCACGGTGGCTTTTGTCGAAGCGATTCTATTAAGAACAATAGAAATATGTAAAAGCCCAGAAACTAATTTTTAATGAAGGAATAAACACAACTGCTGTCAAGAATTTTCTAATAAGACACATCACATAAACACAATGTCCTGGTAGCAGTGGATGAGCCCTCATGATACCCTCCTGGTATCATGCACCTCACAGCTATAACACCACCAAATTGGAAGTATTCTGTTTGGTTGCAGCAGCAATTTTTTTTTAACATTGAGAAATCAATTCTTTTAAAATTTCTGGAAGCCCAATAGCTATTAACCGGATATTGTGTAAAATTATATCTGGGGGCACCATAAAATAAATAATTGGTCTGTTACCATGAGGTCCTAGAAATACCTTGAAGGTACAACAATTACCAGAGCATGAAAGCAAAAAGCAGCTTCCTTTCTACATTGTCAGGAAAGCAAACCCTGGCTGCAGCTCTGGTCTAAGGTGATACAGTCAAAGGTCAAATTCTACTCATTGTTCCCTGGTAGAGACATTTTGTGAACTGTTTGCTTAAGGATTAATCAGCAATGATAAATCAGCAATGATACTCTGCTTTTCTTAGAGGCTGACAGTATCTGCTGATTCGATTCTATAAGTAGAATTGCTTTTTATAATGAAGATCTTAATAGACCTAAGTTTCACTTCTTATCACCAGAAGTCTGGTTAGAACGAATGAAGATTCAGAGTGCTACATTTTAGGCAAAATTAGATATCATCATTAAATATTTATTAAAGATTTATAGGAAGAATTAAAAGTGTTAGGAGCCAGAAGGGATCTTAAGAAATCCTTTAATATAAACCTATCCTTTTATTGATTACGAATGTGAGGCCCAGAGAGATTAAACAGCTTGTGTAAGGTGATATATTCATTAGAGGCAACACATTTCTAATTTAGTTTCCCTGGCACTGGCTAATGTTCTTTTCATTATGCTATACCACAAAGAACTTGAGGCACGTTATTACATATATAGTACTATATATAAATAAATCAATAAAAAGAGGCTATGCTCTTGGGCATTAGGTATTATAATTTAAAAGGAAATACAACTTTTTCATAAAAATACAATGGGAAGAACAAATAAAATTAAGAGAACCAACAGAGACCTTAGTCAAACTGCTAAATACACCACAGGTTCTTAACATTTACTTTCAAGCATAAAAAGGATATTTTAAAGCTATTTAAATATGATTGAGCAAGAAGCATCCAAAGACATAGTGTGTTAGTAATCAGAATTGTGCTTATTTTAAAAACTTCGCATATGTAATGAGAATTTAATAGATTTAAAATCTGTGAATGTTTGTATTTATTTTTTTAAAAAGCAATAACAATATTTTCACATATTTAAAAAAGTTAACTAATGCAAAGAAAGCTATATAGTTTTGAAAGGAAATTTAAGCTTTTAAAGTCATGTTCAATTAAGGCAAAGACATACTCCTTTTCAAAATCCTTGGCGTTTTTCATCTTCTCTAGGTTTATTTTCACCAGCTTCGTTTTGAGCTCCTCAATTTCTTCTTTATAGGGCTTAGCTCCTAAAGCCACTTTGTCCTAAATTTTTTAGAGAAAAGAAAAATAAAATAATTTTAGAGCAGTTCTGAAGAGTTGTTAACCGCCTTGATCTGGTAGAGACATTTTTAAAACAGCAATCTTCAAATATATAAAAAGCAGGGAAGGCACAAATGAACACTGAAATGAATAACAAATAGATATATGATGTGAAGTATAATCTGAAGCTCTTGGAAGCTAATACATACTTAGAGAACATATGACTTTTGTTTCTTAGAACAATTTTTTTTCCCAATTTAAAAACAATCTACCTAAACAAATGAAACAAAGGTTGAAAACAATGAAATGGGCAGACGAAGGTTAATCAGGAAAATGAAAGAAAACGATGTCAGAACAGCAATATAAATATCAAACTGGAACTGAATTTAAGGCACAAAGTATTATGTAGCATAGTTGAGGAGATTTTGTAGTCAAAGATGGTTCAATCCAGTGATATATCTACTTTCTACTCAGAGGAAAAAAATTCCATATATAAATCTTTTTCTTTAATGAATAGATTTCATTTTCAAAGTAATTTTAGGCTTATGGAAAAATTGAGCAGAGAGTACACAGAGTTCCCATAAACTGTGCCCTCCCCCTGCCCCAACTCTCCTGTTATAAAACATATTAATGTGGTATAGTTGTTACAAATGATGAGCCAATATTGATACATTAGTATTAACTAAAGTTCATAGTTTACATCAGGGTTTATTGTTTGTATTGTATATTCTATGGGTTTTAACACTTGTACAATGACATGTGTTCATCATTGCTCTATCATACAGAATAGTTTCACTGCCCTAAAAACCCCCTGCACTCCACCTATCCATCCTTCCCTCCCTCCCCTTAAACTGTTGGCAATGCCTGAACTTTTTACTGTTTCCCTAGTTTTGCCTTTTCCAGAATGTCATATGGCTGGAATCATCCAGTATGTAGCCTGTTCGGATTGGTTTATTTTAATGAACAATATGCATTTAAAATTCCTCCACGTCTTTCTGTGGCTTGAGAGCTCACTTCTTATTACTGCTGAATAAATTGCTCTTTTTATTGCTGTACCACAGCCACACAGTGGAATACTATTAGATATTGAATACAAAAATAAACCCATCTAAATTAGGAACCCAGAGAGCTCTCTATTCCTCTAGGCTTTCCCACTCCAACCCCCATCAAAACATCTGTACACACACAATGACTAGCAAAGACTAAAAAGATGCAAAGCTTCTAAAAATGACAGATGCTCAGCTTAAGGAGGTTGATGACTGGGTCAGATGAAGCCACTGTTTGCTCAGTCAGAGCGCCAGTTTAATACCCAGGCCTTCTGGACCAGACACTGATATCAGGGACTCCCTGGACGTGTGTCTGGCTGAAGTGGTGTCAGTTTCCCAAGAAACTGCCAAACTTTCCTCCGAAGTAGTTGTACTATTTGCATCCTGCCATGATGACTGAGTGTTCCTGTTGCTCTACATCCCCACCAGCAATAAGTGTTGTCAGTGTTCTGAATTTTGGGTGTTACGGTATTTTGAGATACCAAAGGTATGTAGTGTTATTCTTGTCATTTTGATTTTCAATTCTGTAATAACATGATGTTGAGCATCTTTTCTTATGTTTATTTGCCATATGTCTGTCTTCTTTGGTGGGGTGTCTATTCAGATTTGTGGCCTGTTTTTTGTTTGTTTGTTTTTGTTTTGTTTTGTTTTTTGCGGTACGCGGGCCTCTCACTGTTGTGGCCTCTCCCGTTGCGGAGCACAGGCTCTGGACACGCAGGCCCAGCGGCCATGGCTCACGGGCCCAGCTGCTCCACGGCATGTGGGATCTTCCCGGACCGGGGCACGAACCCGTGTCCCCTGCATCAGCAGGCGGACTCTCAACCACTGGGTCACCAGGGAAGCCCTGTGGCCTGTTTTTTAATCGGGTTGTTTGTTCTCTTATATTTAGTTTTAAGAGTTCTTTGTATATTCTGGATAACAGTCCTTTATCAGATATGTTTTGCAAACATTTTTCTCCCAATCCATGGTTTGACTTTCACAGGGCAAATGTTTTTAATTTAAATGAAGTCCAACTTATCAATTTTTTCTTTCACGGATCGTGTTCTTGGTGTTGTGTTTAAAAAAGTCATCGCCAAACCCAAGGTCTGCTAGTTTTTCTCCTATGTCATCTTCTAGGAGTTTCCTAGTTCTGTGTTTTATATTTACGTTTATGATCAATTGAGTTAATTTTTGTGAAAGGTGTAAGGTCTGTGTCAAGCCTTGTTTTTTCGCTTGTGAATGTGCAATTGGTCCAGCACCATTAGTTGATAAGATTATCCTTTTCCACTGAACCACTGAATTGCCTTTGCTCTTTTGTCAAAGATCAGTTGACTATATTTGTGTGGGTCTATTTCTGTGCCCTCTATTCTATTCCATTGATCTATTTGTCTATATACTGTTTTAAAAATTCAAAGAACTCCAAAAACAATTATCCATTTATGATATCAAAATTTTTAAAATATATTCTATAAGTGCAGAAGTTATAGTAACTTTTTACCACAATATAATGAAATAAACTAGTCATATATAACATTGTTTAAAATAATTCTTACGTAAAAAAAAATCAAAATTGGAAATACTGCCTTAAAATGAAAGACAATAAGAATTCCATATTTCAAACGTTTGGCATGTGATGAAAGCTGAACTCAAGACATACCGATCACCTTAAATAGTTTTTCTAATAAACTGAAAGTACAATTTTTAGTTAACATGATCTATTTATCATCTATATTTTAGATGGATTCTGTTAAGAAACTTTCCTTGTTCTACCAGAAAAAGAATTCCTTTGTGTATGAATTAAATTACATCAAATTTAGAAATTAATTTGGGAAAAACTGATGGATGTACAGTATTTAGGTTCCAAAACAGGAAATGGCAAGTTTCAAATCTTAAACCACATTTTCTCCTACATTACTCTTTGAAGTTCTGTTGTTCCTTTCATATATGTTTTCCTCATCTTTTGTTTAGTCTTCAAATACTTTATTTTAGATTCTGTGGCCATTATAAGATTTTTTTCCTATTGTGTAGGATGTCCATAAAGTTCTAGTGCAGTTTAAATTTTTAACAAATTCACTGCTATTTGACATACAATTTGTAAAGATACAACAGAGGAAAAATATAAAGACTTAAATGAAATTGTTAATGATTCATTTGTTCAAACTACTTTCTTCCATATTCCATTAATAAACCCTACATTACACTGGATAGGTATTTTCAAATAGTGGTAAATAGTTTTTTATTTTTTTATTATGCCAACTCTTGAGTTACATGCAAAAGACTGTATTTTATAGAATATTTATATAATACACAGAAACAAATTTTTCAAAAATTTAAACTGTACGAAGATTTTTATGGATACCCTGTATTTTGCTTTCTTTCCCCAAGGGTGCTGTACAAGACACCCCAGACTCCGCTATATTATCTAAATGGTTACTTCTGGTATGCAGGAAAGATACTTGTCTCTCCATAATATAGGTTCAATCTATACTGAATGTGAAGTTTGCTGCTCACTCCCTCTTTCTTTATGCCCTTTCTTCACTTATATGAGGAAATTAGAACCACTCTCTCTTGCACCCCACCTGCCCCTCTTTCTCTTTTACTCACGCCTGCTCCATCTCAGTATCTTTTAGTTACTCCGCACCTCTTCTCCATATGTTCATGCTCCCATCTAGTCTCATGACTTTTATATGCTGACAATTCCCCAAACTTACACCTCAAATTTAGATCTCTCTCTCTCTCTCTCTCAGACTCACATATCCAACTGCCTAAGACATATCTCAGCTTGGGCGTCCCCAATAGGCATTTCAAATTCAACGTGCTCCAAAGTGAACTCTGAGTCTGCTCCCATGTTCTCAAACTTGCTCTTCTGGCAGTCTTTTCTATCTCCATAAATGGCAAGTCCTTTTTCCAGTTGCTCAGGCCAAAAACTAGGGAAATCATCTCTGACTCCAAGAAATATGAGAGGAAGAGATGTGTGCCACTTCTGGGCTAGAGCCTTTGAGAGTAGAGATTTTAAGATATTTTAGCTTCTCCATCTTGTCCCTTTCCTGTGAGCCCAAGCATGGACAGCTTAAAACCTGGCTTTAATCACTAAGATGAAAACAGCACCCAAGGGTGTGGCAGAGAAACAAGATGGGAGAAATGTGGGCCTCTGATCGATCATGTGGAATGAAGCCATCCCCCAAACTGGAATTCAGGCTTTTATATGAGTTAGAGAAATAACCTTCCATCTTATTTGAGCCATTGCATTTTTGGTTCCCTTTGCTGTAGCAGCTAGCATGTCACACTAACGCACCCTTCTGTATTCTATCTTCAGAGGGCAACTTTTAAAAAATTAAGTAAGACCATAATATCCTTTAGCCAAAATCCTCTGATGATTTCCCATCTCACCCAGAATAAAAACCAAAGTAGTCTGCAAGACCCTTTATGGGTTGATTCTCTGCTACTTCTCACCTTATTTCCCACCTCTATTCTCTTGCTCACTCTGCTCAGGAGACAATGGCTTTCTTGTGGTTTCTTAAACATGTCTAGACTGTTTCTGTGTTGAAGCCTTTGTGTTTGCTATTTCCTTTGCCTAGAAGGCCCTTTCCCTACTACATCACTCACCCCATCACTTCATGTCACCTTAAAGGTGTGGCTCTCCTCAATGCCCTTTTATAAAGTCACATCTCTTTCCCTTATACCCCAACTCTCACTCAGTATCCATGTACCCTTGTCTGGCTTAATTTTTTTCCATTGCACTTTTCACTATTTGACACACATATATATACTTCATTATTTTCTGTCTTCCTGAACAAGAACATAAACTCCTTGAAGGGAGAAACTTCTATTTTTTTTTCCCATTGCTGTATACATGGCATCTAGAACAATGACCAACACACAGCAGGTAACCAAAAATATTTGTTGAAAGAATAAAAATGTGGTCATTTAATTATTTGAAATATTAAAAAACTACTATCAAAAATTCTAAAGCCTCACAGTTGATTTTCTTGGTTTTTAGCTATACCAACAATTGTTGAAAAACAAAACTGAGATTATTTTCTCTTGCCTCTTTGTTTCATGTCTCACTGAATGAATCAGAATTTTTAGAACAATGTTAAATAATGGAAAGAACAGACATCCTTGACTTATTCCTAATTTTAACTGCAATGAAGAGACACTGGAGCAGGAATAGCACAAATACTTATTAGGGCTGGACTCAAGTAGCACAAGTGTGAGAAGTGGCTGGGCTAAAAAAAAGGGAGTGGTAAGGATATGATGAATGAGGGTGCAAACTGTGTAAGGGCATTCATGGTCAAAAAGATTTATATTACTGCTCTTTATAAAGAAAATAGGTCAGAGTCAGCCGAAAGGCTGGGACTCAATAACAAGGGATTAAGCAGAAGAAAAGAGAATTTTAAAATGCACTTATCTAATAAAGAATGTTAAATATTTAGATAGGAAGCCTTTTTTTGAAAAATAAAAAAATAGACATTTTAAACTATAAAGAATAATATTTATATCTCTTAAAAATAATTTTTCTAGGAAGATATAAATCATTATCTTGAATGAAAATATACTCCTGCATTTCATTTCTAAGTTGTCACTTGCTTCTTAAGAGTTTGAGTACTGAACTTCAGATATTCATAGATAATAGGAAGTTGAAGTAAAAACTGAGTCCTAGATTATCTGCCAAATTCAACAGTACAAGAAAAAAAAAAAAACCAAACAAACCCTTTTACTTATAAAATAAGTTTGTTAAATTACCTGAAGTATTTGGATCATTTCTTTTGTTTTTTCAAGGCAATCATTTGATTCATTAACTTGCCCTTGAAGTTTTGCTATTATGTCATTAGTCATCTCAAGTTCTTTCTGCATCTTTATAATCTTGCCTTCCTCATGCATAGCGCTTTCTTTAGCTTCATGGAGTGACGTTTCCAGCTCTTGAGTTTTCTATTAGAAAAAGTACACATGCTTAAGGTCTGCCATATAGACAGAGTCATAGTATATAAGTTTAAGACAAAAATAATCATATATAGAAATTAATTTTCACAGATTTCACTAACAAAGGATAGAAAAGAAGAGAAGCCAATGTCACTCAATTTACACATGTATTTCTTTTTATGTGTAAGCTGATGTCTTTCGGATTAAAAAATGCCCACATTTTACATTATAAGGTTTAGCATTTATTTACTAGTTAGCATGGTGCCAAGCATATTAAATAGGTACTTACATTTTAAATTACCACTTAGATAAAGTACATTTGATAATTAGCTCTTTAAAGTAATACATGTCTTTTCCTTTATTTTTATTACCTACTTTTTAACTTGAAAAATACAAGCATATGGAAAAATTCAGAGGCATTTGATGAAGAGTAAGTTTCCCCACCTCAGAACCCTAGCTGACCCTGAATGAAGTAATGACTAAACTCTTTCAGGTGTATCCTTCCAGAAGTTTCCTATGTGTATCTAAGCGTAAGTGAATATTCAGTTCATAAGAACAGTCATACATACAGTAGGAAATAAATATATAGTTACTAAATATATAGTTCTGCATTAAAAAAAATCTAATAATATATTTTTCAGATCTTTCCATTATCGATACACATAGATCTCTCATATTTGTTTTCATGGATACATCCATCCATCCATTAGTGGAGATCATCCACTAATGAACACTTAGGGTATTTCCAGTTTTTTCCAAGTACAAAAATACTGGAATTTAAATACCTGAATTTGTTCATATTTATAAGATTATTCACATACATATATATGCAGGTTTTCCTGGAAAATGTGTTTTTTGACCTACTCAGAATTTATTTTTGTTTCGTGAGTGGGGTAGAAATCCAGACTTTTTTTGCAGATAGCTAGGTGGTTGCTCTGAATCAAACATTAAGTAAATCGTCTTTTCCCCACTGAGCTGACTGTTACCATTATCATACACTAAATTCTCATACTTATCTGAGTATGCTGCTGAACTCTGTTCTGTTCCAATGCTCTGTTTACCTATTTCTGCATCATTACCAAACTACTCTAGTCATCTATTCCTGTATCATTACCAAACTACTCTAATTTGGCATAATTACCAAACTAGTGGCATATTATTTCTTATCCGATAGGGCACTTCCTGGGTCACTAAAGACGTAATCTCCCTCTGCTTCGTTATCTTATTGCTTTGGTAGATGGGTTTCAAATTTCTGCTATTTTATCTCTGCCAGCTGACTGAGGTAGTGTAGTGCAGCAAATCAATCACTTGTATACTAGTGACCTTCTAGTTTCCACTGGTAGTGATTAAACTAGTGGTTGATGTTTTATTATAAGTATTTACTTTGGTAAAAATGATTATAAGTTATATAAGTGTATAACTTATATACACCCTTGGGTGCCCTACTAAGTCATTTTGTGTGCTAACAAAATAAAATAGCATGTTCGCTTTACAGAGTCCCACGTAAGGGTAGTTAATAAGGTAACTGAATTATTCAAATAATATACTGATGCTTGGATACAGGTTAATCTGCTTAAGAAATCTGTTATATTTTTGGCCTCTTCCATTTTGATCTTGATTATAACATTAACCAGTATGAAAGACACTGATGATAATTAGAGAAAAACTAAATTGCTCTTTCCCCCTAAACTAGTTCTGTATACAGACACAGATTATATTTTAATAGAAAGTCACATGATTTAGGAAAATTACACTGTATGGTAATAATACTTTAAGTGTCCGTATCTAGCAATCAAATTAAGCTATGAGTTACTTATGTTTTATAATCCAAAGGGAAGTTCTTATATAATGTCTAGCTTCATAATTAGTTGAGTGATAGCCACGATAGAACTATATTTAAAAAACAAGCCCATCACACAGGCACAAAGATGGTCCATGTTCCTTAACACATTCAATACTATAATTTTGCTCTGAAATGTTATATAAGACATGTTATATATAAATGTTATATAAGATGTTAAATGCATTTTTAAGTCTTTGATGAAGCTGCAAATTGAAAAACATAAGAAAGTACATACCTCTGTGGCTTGTTGTGTAGTTCTTGATGTAACATGAAGATTTTTATTGTCTTGTGTAGTAGGATTAACAAGGGGACCAGAGGTCAGGGAGATCTTCAAAGTTTGGTAGTTTTTAAACAGTTTTTCATTGTTCTCCTTCATTGATTTCAGATCATGTTCCCATTCTTTGGCTATGGTGGCATTTCTTTCTTCGAATTCTGTTGATTCATTCATTATAGCCTATTGGATAGTAAAAACACCATTATAGCTCTAAGATGAATTACATTAAAAAAAAATCCACTACGAAAATAATAGATTTCTAGGACAAGGCATAAGCCAAAATTATTCAGAATATTCCAGAACAGCACTTTAAAAGAATGTGAACATTCTTTGTGGTTTGCGTCAGTTCCTGAAATTTCAAACGATGTTGGATGTTGGTGATGAGAATAAAAGAATAAAGGCTGGAGAGCATTCATGTTGATTTGCAAGATGATAATCTTACCTTATTAGATCAGTACTAATGTATGAAGAAGAATCCGAAGAATTGTGCAGGTTAAAGTTATTATGTATGTTATGACACATATCATGTCATATATAAACATTAACTGACATCTAACAGCAGAGCATAACCAATAAACTTAACAACAAGCTATTTTCATTCCAAACCTCAGTGGTTCCAGGGAAAATCATTCACTGACTTTTGGTAATTAATCTGAAAACCTTGTATTTCTGTGCAGGGAATAATGATCAACCAATGTCTTCTTTTACATCAAAGCCTAACTAACTCTGAAATTATTCATATCATCTTTTTACTTCCTAATTCCTAAGGGATGTACTTTTTTGCTCTCATCGTGGATGCCTTATTGGTCTTACCTATAAATTTCTTTGTGGTTTTATGGCAATTCTGTCAGACTTGGATCCTAAATTAGCTGTGTTCTTGCTGGCATCCTGGACACTCCATGGCCCTAGACTATGGACCTCCCACCATACAGAATTACCAGTTCCTTCTTTCAGGGTGCTGGAAGAAGCCACATATCCATGCTGATCCATGCTGATCCCCACAGCAGGAATCCCTATTTTCTTTTCTTTTCCTTTTTATTGAAGTATAATTGATTTACAAAGTTGTGTTAGTTTCAGGTGTACAGCAAAGTGATTCAGTTATACATACATATGTATCTTTTTTTTCATATTCTTTTCCCTTATAGGTTATTACAAAATATTGAGTATAGTTCCCTGTGCTAAACAGTAGGACCTTGTTGAAGGAATCCCTACTTTCTAATCACAACTGGGCCTTCGACATTACAGAACATGGAATTATATGGAAATCATCTTATCCAAATATCAGTTATGGTTTTCTCCATTGACTGTGGACTTTTTTTTTTTTTTAAAACAGCTCATTTACTATTTTGCTTAGAGTATTCAGCAAATGGATGAACAATCCAGCCACAGGAAAACATTTTTTTTAAATATTATCTATATTTCAATGTGATTTTAGTTTCCAGATGAAGTTAAAGTCTTTGTCTGGAAATAGCTACCCAAATGTAGGAATATAAAACTAATATTAAAAGCTGTAATACTAATCCAGGTCCGTTTGTTCCAATTACATATAATAACAAGCAACTTTCTGATTACTGCATATTTTACTAGGTATAGGAGATAGGGATTACTTCAGAAAGTAGAATGAATATTCTGAGCAGTGGAAAGTAAAACAAATCTATAAACTGGTCGTAAGCCATGTTGGTTCTTATGAATCTGTCCACTAGGACTGATCACCTTGGGAACAATGATTACAAACCACATTTTTGAACATCAAAGTTGAAGGATCAGGGCATGTGACAGTGACACCACTGAGACAAAAAGCATGTGAGGCCTTATTAATAAAGCAGCTGGCTAGGCTTGTCCAGGGCTTTCCTACAGTTGCTGCCTGTAGCCCTGAAACAGGCTCATGTCTCACCTTGTCTGAGCCTACTTGGGGAAAAGGCTCAATTCCTACAGAAGCAGTGAGAAGTGAGAAAAGAAAGAGGAGAATTGCAAGAGGATTCCGGATTCCACAGATTCCAAATCTGTGTGTAACAAACTGATTACTACACACCAAGATTTTGTTATCTTCTTTACAAGTATAAATATATATTTAATTATCCTAAGGAAGCATAATACATTAGAGGCAGAAGATGTTTTACATAGTCAAATTTTTTTCACAAAGCCTATAAAAATAAATTTTAAGAAAATACTTAAAATTAAGTTGCTTTAAGTCTTTTTACAAATGAGGTATAAAAATTAAAGCAGACAACAACAAAAAGAATGAGGTAGCACAAGAAAATTACTACTTACAATTATTTTGTTATTATAGAAGTTATTCACTTGAAAAATACTATCAGTTTCTTTCTGGATGCCATTTTTAAGCTTTTCTATATCAAAATGAGCATTCAACCACTCTTCCAAAAACCGGGTCATTTCTTTTCTATTACTTAGTACTTGCTGAAATTCAGTCTCTATGCTATGGCAATCACTTTCTGAAAAATCCTTGAGAATTTCCTGAGAAAAATAAGCATTGGATCACATGAACATTAGAAAAGTGTTAATCTAAATATCATAAAAAGGGGAAAACACCTTATTGAACTCTTATTCTTAATATTTTGAAGTACTGTAAATATAATTCTAATTTAAAACTTTAGTTATTTGATAATAAAATTTTGGTGTATAGCCTATAATGGAGGCACGTCTACAAATCTGCATGTTAGAATTAAAATCCCTCAAAAGTATAAAACTGTGACTAATAATCACAAAATATGAATTGTTTCTGGATGTAGTTTTCTGTGCATAAAACAGGCTGCACATGGTTTTGGGAATTGAATGCCAGCCTCCTACTGCTGAGAGAGAGCAGGACACTTCATGCAGAGTTGTAAAAAAAATGTTTCTGACTCCCAGTCACAGACCTAGGAAGTTTTAGAAGGCATTCGGAAACTTATCCTGGGGTTCCATGAATTCCCACTTGATGATATTACATCTATTTTCTGTATCTTTGGGGTTCTGAAAGGAGGCTAGACTATTACTTGGCACTCTTTACAACTGGCCAGCTGTCATTCTGCAACTGATTTTTAATTTTTGGTAAATAAAAATGACTCTAAACATATGAAAAGGTACTTTTCTACTTGATAAAAAGGCTTGGAATCTAATTACACCCATTTTAAACAAATTGTACCTCAATATGCAGATCCATACTCTGGCTCAATTTGAGGTCCCTTGATTCTCTGGGCGGTACATCATAATCTTGTTGAAGGTGCTGTATTTTAATTAGCAGTTCATTTTGCTTTTCCACTTCATCAATAAAAGCCATTTCAAGTTTATTGATGGATTCATGTTGTTCTTCCTTTATCTTTGTAACATGGCTTAACACATACTTGCAGAAAAACATTAAACAAATTGAGAAATGAAACTTGTACCACATTTAGATGAAGTTTTAAACCCCTGAGACTATGAGGCAGGATGGCATCTCTTATTATCTATATCCTCTGGTAAGTGAGGGAGAAGGAAAGAGCCTCTCTCTATCCCCAATTTTCTCTTCTCAGCAACTTGGGAGAATAACTTCCAGGCCTCCATCTAGTTCCATATTTCTGACTTGCCCCTGGATATACCTCATGGATGTCCTATAGTTACCTCAAATTCAATAGATTTAAAATGAAAAAAATAAATAAATAAATAAAATGCACATGATTCCTTTCCCTAGAAACCCACCTTTGCCTATTTACCCCCCTTTTGGTTAATTATGTCATCAATCACCCAGTTTCCAGCTAGATACCTGAGATTCATTTTCAACATCTTCTGCCTACCTTGATTGGGTAACCAAAATGGGTATGACATGTCCCAAGATTTACTTGTCAAGCATATTTAGATGTTTGGCTTTAAGGTGACAATAATTTTTTTTTTTTTTTTTTTTTTTTCGGTACGCGGGCCTCTCCCGTTGCGGAGCACAGGCTCCAGACGCTGAGGCTCAGCGGCCGTGGCTCACGGGCCCAGCTGCTCCGTGTCATGTGGGATCCTCCCGGACCGGGGCACGAACCCGTGTCCTCTGCATCGGCAGGCGGACTCTCAACCACTGCGCCACCAGGGAAGCCCAAGGTGACAATAATTTGAATGCCATATGCTTCACGGATCTCCTCAATAAGTTCTGGATATCTGATTGCCAGGGTTTGTGGAAGAATATCAGGGCGTAAGGGGCAATTTACCTAGGAAGGGCAGATACCAGCTCCCTACTTCCTTAACATCCACCATTCCTTAACTCTTATAATTTGGCCTTTTCCTTAACTACTCAACTAAAACTGCTCTGACAGATGTCACCAGTGAGCTCTATTATCAACAAGTTGAGGAGATCTCTTCAGTCCACATTCTAGCTGACCGAAGCATCTGCCACTCTTGACTACTTCATCTTTGACGTACTCTCCTCCACTGACTTAAGTAATAACACTGTTGCCTGGTTCTTTTCTGTCACTTTGACTTTTCTAACCTTGAACCCATGAGTTGCTCTTTTCTGCTACTGTCTCTTGGAGAACTATCTTTTCTGGAGTTTGGATCTTACCCGAACATCTCCCCAAACTCTCATTCCTCTATTATGTTTTCTGGGCGACCTTACACATGTTGTGCAATCTATCACCTATATGAATCCCAAATCTTTATCTTTAGTCCTGAGTTTTCTCCTGACAAGCCTCAGACTCTCGACTAAATGCCTGCTTGGTCTCCCTTCTTAGACGTTCTGTCTTAGGTATCTCTCTCTACCTCAAAACATCTCAAACTAAACACCTCATCTCTTTTCCCTCTCTATCTCAGTTAATGGTACCACTCTCCACAAACCTGGCTAAGCCCAAATCCTGGGACTCAATCTAAACTTCCCTCCTGTACCTCCACCACCAATCACACCAACTACTATGTTAAGCTGTCAAATGTTTCTTTGATCTCGTCTGTCCTCCCCATTCCTATGAATCCTTCCCTAGCAGTAGAGTCGCTCATAATAGCGCATCTGGACCACTGTAACTGTCTCTTATCTCTTCTCTCTGCCACTAGGCTTATCCTCCACAAACTCATTTCTTCTTTGTCTGCAGTGAAGTATCTAAAGTGATAATCTGATCATGCTACAGCCACCACCTTAAAATAACTGTCCAACGGCTCTGCCTCATTTACAAAAGGAACTCCAAGCTTTATCATTTGAGTCTATCTTCTACTACAGTCTTATCTTCCTTAACTTTTTATTTGGTATGTCATATAATCTAAATGTACTTCTATCGCTACACTTATTACCTGTTTATATGTCTGCCTAACTCACTATGAGATCCCTGAGATGTTATTCATACTTGTCTCCTGAACACCTGGACAGTGTCTAGGCCCATAGGCAAAGCTCAGGTTTTGTTGAATAAACAGGTCCTAGGTGCATTGAGGATCTTGCACACACTGTTCTTAGACCCACATAATCTTTAATTCAGTAGTAAATACACTAAATAACAAGTATGTCAACTCTCAAAGCAGGACTTAAACACTAAAGTTTGTAATAGAAATTTATAATGATATTTACAAAGATAGTACTAAAAAAGATGGTACCTGAAGTTTCTTCATGACTCTATGAAATTCCATGGAACACCTTTGGTTTGCAGTGAGAAGTTTTTGAATTTGCTTGCTTTGTGGACATGGAAGTGCGAGGTTTGCTTTTACTCTAATTGAAAGCTCTTTTTGTGTTTCGATTTCCTTCTTCAAGTCAAGAGACAATCTATTTAAGCACTCATAATGATTATCCATCTCTGAGTATCTCTTAAGAAGCTCCTAAAGAAAATTAGAATTTATTCAATTTACCAATTCATTCTAATTTAACAAGAAATAGTCTCAGCCCTAGAATTGCAACAAAACTTAATTCTTTAATACTTTTTGTAGGAGATAAATAAATTTCGACCTTTGTGTTTATAAACAAAAGCGAACTCTTATTGTTGATTTTGGATTATAGAAATTATTGTGGAAATTTAAAAGAATTTAAACAAATATAACAAAGAAAACCAGAAGCAACCATTGTTATCATTTTGCTGCATTTTCTTTTGGTCTTTTGAACATCCATGATTTGAAGGAACATTTATTTACAAAGTCTGAAGAGAAATGTGAGTGAATTCAATCTAGTATGTATTGTAGCTCAAGGCTGAATGCTGGCCTCTATGTACAGAAGGCAGTGTAAGTGAGCAGATACGTGACTAAGAATCAAACTAGTTATATGTCAACTTGGTGGAGCCTCTTCACATATTTTTATTATCTGCCTAGAATCCAAGTTTTCTAACCTTTTATCAGAGTTTGTGTTCAGGTTCTAGCTCTGCCACTTGCTGACTGGGGAAACACTGAGTCATTTTCACCACTACAAAATTAAGACTACAATAATTGCCACAAAGTTTCCTAGGGGATCAAATATTAAATAATATCTATATCTATGCAATCTATAAAATATATAGACATTATAGTTTAAAGGAAATAAAATTATATTTGTAAAAATGCTTCTATGCCCAAGTTTCACTTTGTCAGACCTGGTTTCAAACCCTGATTCTACTAATTTACTACCTATGTGACCTTGGGTAACCACTAAACTTCCTCTCTGAGCCTCAGTTTGTTTGTTTATGAATGGAACAATAAAACCCATCTCATGAGGTAAAGCACCCAGTACAGTGCCTGCATGTGGAAGACATTCAATGAGCCTAGGCCCATCAACACAAATGACGAGAGGCCAGGCAAGTGACCCCTTGGTCAGAGTACAGGTGGAAGAACACATTAAGTTCAAGTTGCTACAGTCATGTAATAAATAACATGTTTAGTTCAGGGTGTTAAATTATAGAAGGGGCTTCTGACAAGAACGAGCTCTCTTTTTTATAATTTAAGGAAAAGCTAGATAGATGTTGAGTAATGTGGGATGTTGGAGGGGGGATTCTTCCTTTAGTCTTAGAATGAATCACATTATGGCATGGAGAAGCATTGTATGGTCATTCATTTGTACTTTTAAGAAACACATACTGAATGCTGATTCCTGTCAGGAAGTTTTCTAAGTGATACAGCCATAACCAACATAACAAAGTTTTTAGGGACTTTGCATTCTAATAGGGGTGAGAGTACATCCTGTTGGCTTTACCCTCAATATGTATTCAGAGTCCGAACACTTCTCACCAGTTCCGCTGCTACCTCTTTGGGCTGAGCCACCATCACCTTTGCCTGGATTACTGAAATTAGTCTTTCAAATGGTCCTCCTGCTTCCACTCATTTTCAATAACATTCCTTTAAAATGTAACTCAGATCATGTCTCTCTGTACTCAAAATTGTCCAAGGGATTCTCCGTCTTACTCACAGCAAAACCCAAAGTCCGCTTAAGGCCCCACAGCCTGCCTCTTCTCCATTAACTCCTGACCTCACTTCTAACCGGCTATCCTCCTTCTTGATGTTCCTGGAACCCACCAGGCAGGCTTCTGTCTCAGAAGCTTTCCACTTGCTGTTCCCTCTGCTTATACTGCTCTTTCCCTGTGTACCTGTGTGGCTTGATCCTTTACCTTTCTCAGGTATTTGCTCAAACATCACCTTTCCAGTGAGGCCTGAAAACCACCAACTCCTCTGTTTTCTGTGTGTGGTGTATGCACGTATATATGTACACATATACATACTTGTACTAGATTATAAACTTTAGAAAAATATTGAGCATTATCTATTCATTCCACATTAGGCCTTTGGAAGGGTATTACAAATAATCATTTGTAATATTAACAGGAGAGCACTTACTTTTATCCTGAAGCACTTTTCTCTCAGGCTTTCTATAAGGTGTTGGTTTCCATCACACAGTATTTTTTTTTCATATTTTACTACCTCTCCGTGGTTCTGTTGATTCTGCTTTGATACAAAGAAATAAGCAAGGCTTCAGCTGTAACTATAGTAACATATAATGTCTAGTCATATACTCTGATTACATTTTTATATCTTTTCAATAATGGAATTAAATATCACACATGTAACTCAAAAGCAATGTTAAAAATGCTCAGAATATGAATAACAGTAACACTAAGTCTTATGCTGAGTGACCTCAACTCACTGGAAAAAGTGACCTCAACTCATTGGAAAACCTTCACATATTTTTTGAAGATAGGATTTGTTGCTTTACTATCTATAGTTGCAAATTGGATTTTAGATATACCTCTGGTTCCTACTCTTCCAAATCTCTGTCTTAGAATCACTGCTGCCAACACATATATGCTAGCAAAACCAAGTATACTACCTACGGTGTTCCAAGCCCTGTTCATACATTCTTTCCAGCACCCTGGAACAGAAAATTCATATTCTGTTTATATTTTGTATTTGATTAAAAGTGCAAAATAAAACATTGTTCAATAAATATTTTTTGAATGAATTAAGTCTATAAATTTAGTTAGAGCCCACATAAAGGTGATTTCCAACTGTCTGAAATTTCTACTGAGATTACAAGTGGTATTGCTTTCCATTTTATTATTTCTTTACTATGAGATAATGATGGACATGAGAATGAAATATGAAAATAAGATTTTTATAGATTTCATACAATTTCTTATTTGTCTGAATTTTATAGAGGGATTCAGTTCAGTTCTTTAAGATATGTGATTCTGAATATCTATAAATAGACATATTAGTAGAACTTCCTTTCTTATACTCATCTTGCTTTTCTTCCTTCTAACTTCACTAACAAGAGCCTATGTTTAAAACTCTAGCGTGTAGAGGTAGAGAAATGAGATATTTAATCTTTTACAAATATTCCTCCACTGAGAATAATGTTATTTCCTGGTTTAAAAACCCTTTTAAAAATTACACTAAAGAAAATAGTCTGCTTTATTTAGCAATTTTTTTCTTAAAACTAAAGAATTGGGAGGGGAGTTTGGGGGAGAATGGATACATGCACATGTATGGCTGAGTCCCTTTGCTGTGCACCTGAAAGTATCACAACATTGTTAATCGGCTAGACTCCAATAGAAAACAGAAAGTTAAAAAAAAAAAAGGTATTTTCTGAAAAACAAAAACATTAATTTGAAAAGATACATGCACCCTAATGTTTATAGATAGCAGCATTATTTACAATCGCCCAGATATCGAAGCAACCCAAGTGTCCATCAACAGATGAACGGATAAAGAAGATGTGGTGTATATATATATATACACATACACATACACAATGGAATACTACTCAGCCATAGAAAAGAATGGAAATTTCCCATTTGCAACAACATGGATGGACTTCTAGGGTAATATGCTAAGTGAAATAAGTCAGACAGAGAAAGACAAATACTGTATGATATCACTTACATGTGGAATCTAAAAAATATAACAAACTAGTGAATGTAACAAAAAAGAAGCAGACTCACAGATATAGAGAACAAGCCAGTGGTTACCAGTGGGGAGAGGGAAGGGGGAAGGGACAATATAGGGGTAGGGGATTAAGAGGTACCAAACTATTACGTATGAAATAAGCTACCCAGATATACTGCACAACATGGGGAATAGGCAATATTTTATAATAACTATAAATGGAGTATAACCTTTAAAAATCGTGGATCACTATATTGTACACCTGTAACATATAATATTGTACATCAACTATACTTCAATTAAAAAAAATGTTCTTACCAAAAAAAAAAAAAGTGGTAATATCTGAATAACATAATTTTGGCTTCTTTTAAAACTATTATTTTCTATTTGTGTGAAAAATTATAATTAATAGTTTCCCTCATTATTCTTTACTGTTTGTAGACGTTTCCAGGAAATATAAAACAAAACACTGTTACCCTTTCCAAGAAAGCTTGATTCTTATAAACAGTTACTAGATAGGGGAAGATTCTGAACTCTCTCTAGCTATCATTTCTCTCAATGTTTCTCTGAATTGGTCTCTTTCCATTTTGAGAGACTCTTTTATTCTCTTTAGCTCATCTCTTTCCTTAGCTACAATTCTTATTTCTTCAAGGTTTTCATACAGTTTCTTGGTCAAGTGTAAGTTATCCATTGCCACATTTTGCACAGATAAATTTTGGGCATCAAATTGCTTCTTCAATTCTTCCATTTCATTCACTTTTTTATGAGTTTTATTGACATCTTCTTCCATTCTAACAAGTTGAAGCTCTTTTCTCTGAAGTTCTGGTATCTTGACATAATTATAAAACAAGTTAGAATGCGAACAGAATTCCTTTAAGAAAGGAAAATAGTGTCTATGTATATGTACATATAGTATAGTACATGTACATATATATCTATATTGACATATCTGTATCTATGTCCTTTCTCATTCCATAAGTAATTTTGGGCACAGTTATTCCCCCAAAGAACAGAACAACACATACCTTTCTCGGTAATTTGTCTTTTGATTTATTTAAATCCTTCTGAATATTTGAAATCTGAGGTGTCTTTTCTGAAACTTTCTCTCTGAATTTATCAATAGTTTCTTGGTGTTCTTTCAAATGCATATGGGCAATTTTTAGTTGCTCTTGTGTTTCCAGATCCTTTGTTATTAGAAATTGAGAAATATGATATAAAGGCACATTAACTTTTCTTAACAATGAACTAGTTAAACAAAATCTCAAAAACCACATGTTCATAGTTTAAAACAACCTCCATGCCACCCCCAAATTAGAACAGTACAGAAGGACATAAAGTCCAAGTGTCTGTTCCTAGCCTCACCCATCGCAGTCCTGTCACATGCTGAACTCTGCCACTTATTTTTCAAATTTCATACCACTTGGACATCTTTCTAAATCAGTATCACATAAAGAGTGTCCCATTCTTATGCTTAGTTTTCTACTATACAAACGAACACCACTTAGCCAGTGCCTTACTGGTAGATACTTGGATTGTTTCTGATTTTGTTCAGCACAATGTTGTAGTGAATGCTGCTGTATTTCTGTCCAGATATGTGAATATATTGGTAGGATGAATTTCTACAAAAGTGCTGTAGCAAATGTATATGTTGATAATTTTTAAAATGCTATTGTCAAACTGCTTCCCTAAAAGGTTATAACATTCAAATTTTCACCAACAGTATCACTTATTTTCAAACTTCTTACAGTAAAAACATGTTTACTTGACAGGAAGTAAGAGCACAACTCACTCTAGCTATGGCTTCTTGCAGGTCTGCCTTGAGTAGGTCTCTCTCCAGTTTCAGAGTCTCTTCTACTCTCCTTAGGTTATCTCTTTCTTTCATTACAGATTTCATTTCTTCAAGGTTTTCATGAAGTTTCTGAGCCAAATTTAAGTTCTCCATTTCTATTTTATCCAGAGTTAAACTTTGGGCCTTGAATTCTTTCTTCAGTCGCTCTAGGCCGCATATTTTTTTCTGTGTCTCACTAACCTCTTCTTTTAACTTAAAAAGTTGATGTTCATTTGCTTTAAGTTCTTGGACCTTAAGATAATCGTAACGTTAGGATTAGATGGCTTCTTAGGGAAGGATAAAGAATAGTTTCTAAGCTGATTAAGACAGCTTTCCCATGTCACTCATTAATATTCTGTGTAATTCCATACAGGATTTACTTTTTTTTGTGGTATAATTTACATAACTACACACTAATCTTATGTGTATATGGCTCAACTACTCTTGACATATGTATACAGCTATGTAACTACAACTCAGATTAAAATACAACTCAGAATTAATACAGAACACTTACTTACCTTACCATAAGGTTCCTATGTGCCCCTTCCTAGAACGAACCACTATTCTGACCTTTTTCATCCCAGATCAGTTTGCCTGCTTTTAAACTTATAAATCACAATGTATTTATCCGTTCTGTTGATAGGCATTTGGGTTGTTTTCAGTTTTTTGCAATTATGACTGAAGTTGCTGTGAACACTCTTGTATGTCTTTACGTGTAAGTGTGCACTTTCTTCTCTTAGGTACATAGCCAAGGAGTGGAAATGCTGGGCCACAGGCAGGTATATGGTTCAGTGCTAGTAAAAGCTACCAAGCTGTTTTCTAACGTGGCTAAAGCATATTACATCCCTCAGGGATTTTAGGCATTACTTTTTATTCTAGGAATAAATCAGGTATCCAAACATATAAGCGTCATGACCCCCTCAATACCTTTTCTTGTAATTTAGCATTTGAATTTTCTAAATCCATTTGCATATTTGATATTTCTTCTGTCTTCTCACAAACAATCCTTCTGAGTTTATCAATAATTTCCTGGTGATCTTTCAGATGCATGTGAGCAATTCTTAGTTCCTCTTGTTTTCCAAGGTCCTTCATTATTAGAAAAAAATTAAAAACCAATGATACAGCTTAATGTTAACTAGTATTTTCTTTTTAATGAAAGTGATACATTTTCTTAGTAAAAATAATACATTTCTTATTTCTTACTCCACAACTTTGATGTTGTTAGAAAGTTATCGGCTTCCCCTTCCCCTGTCCTCACCTCCCCACAATGTACTCATATTTTGCAGAGGTAAACATGCTATACACATACTATTCTACAACTTGCTTTTCCCCCTAAGAGTTATTTTGAGCTTCCAAATTAGAACATTCAAATCTATTTCACTTTTTTAAGGGTTGCACGTATCCTGACATATTGCTTATATCTACCCAGTTTCCTTGTGATAGACATTTAGGTTACTTCCTGTTTTTTATCACAAATTGCTATAATGAACAACCTTATGGTATATGTGTGTGTGTGTGTTATGAATATACACACACATACATATTTTTCTTTACCTTAAAAATTGAGTAAGTGTACATGTAAAGTCCATGAAGAAAATGCTGGTTACAGAATTTAAAATTTTCAAAAATAATACCAAATTACCTGCCTAAAAGGCTGTATCCTGTTCCTTCTCACCAAAAGTACCACTCATTTCAAAGAAGGGTTCACTGATGTAAGGAAAACATCACATTAACTCGCTGGGAAGAGGAACGAGTGTAACTTACTTTAGCTTTTGTTTCTCTGAGGATTTCACTGAGCTGGTCTTGCTCCATTTTGAGGGTTCGCTCCATTCTTCTTAGGTCATCTCTTTCCTTAGTAACAGATTTTATTTCTTCAAGGTTTTCTTGAAGTTTCTGAGTCAACCTTAACTTCTCTGTTTCTATGCTTTCCAGGGTTGAATTCTGGGCCTCTAATTGCTTCTTCAACTGCTCTGTTTGATATGTATTTTCCCTGAGATCAGTTTTTACCTTAAGAAGTTGACGTTCCTTCTCCTGAAGTTCTTGGATCTTGAGATAATCATACAATAAGTTAGGATATAGATAGATATAGAGAAAAAACTAATAGTTTCTAAATTGAATACGTAAGTCTCTATGTATATTAGGCTAACTGATATCCTGTTTCATAACACAAAAGACTTGATTCAAACTCTCAGTTACTTAGATATTAGTAGAAATACCTGTGCTTTTAAGGCAGTATTTGTGTTTTCTAAAGCCTTTTGAATATTTGATATCTCATCTGTCTTCTCTGAAACAATTCCTCTGAGTTTATCGATGGTTTCTTGGTGCTCTTTCAGATTCATTTGGGCAATTCTTAGTTCCTCTTGTTTTCCCAAGTCCTTTATCATTAGAGAAAGAAAAATAGTACGTTCAGAATAATACAATTCAACCGTGTGTAGAAAGGTACAGGGTAAGAAGTAAAAATTCCCCCCTCCTTAGGCCTCCCAGTTCTCACCCTCTAAATGACTTTTAGATGTCAATATATTCTAGATACACTACTCTGTATAACGTAACCCTTCTCTATCGGGATACTTCCAAATCAGCTCTGTCTTGTTCTTTACCTGTGGGTTGGTATTCTATGGTCTGAATGTGCTGTATTGATTCAACCAGTCTCTACTAATGGACAGTTAGAATTTTTCCTGTTTTGGGGTTTGCTTTATTTTGTTATTGCAACTTGTACAAATATCTTTGCACAGTTGTGCTAATGTGTGTGGGATAAACAGCAATAACTGGACTTTTTGGGTCAATGCATACACTTATTGAAAACTTTGGAAGATATTATCATATATCCATCCCTCCAGCCTTCCCCAAGATTGGACCAATTTTACAACCTCACCAACTCTATCAACCATGGCTCTTTTAGGACACGATGTCGTATTTACTAGTTGGGGGAAAGACGGTAACTCACTCTAATTGTGGTTTCTCTTAGGTTTTCCTTGAGCTGGTCTATCTCTACTTTGAGAGTCTCCTCCACACTCCTAAGGTCATCTCTTTCTTTTGTAACAGATCTTACTTCTTCAAGATTTTCATGGAGTCTCTGAGTTAACCTTATGTTCTCCAATTCTGTATTTTCCAGGGTTGACTTTTGGGCCTCAAGTTGCTTCTTCAAGTTTCCCATTTCACATATTTTTTCCTGAGTCTCACTGACATCTTTCATCTTAAGAAGTTGATGTTCTTCTTCTTGAAGTTCTTGAATCTGAGAAAATCATAAAACAAGTTATGACATAGACAGAAAATTTTAGGAAAAAGAACTGTCTCTAAAATTAAGGTAATCATCTTTACATTTTAGTCTAACATATGTATTATTTTCTTCTGTAAGGGATATGACGAACACAATAATCAGATGTCATTTTCCAACTTAATAAGACCTACCTTTGCCTGTAATTCAGTATCTGAAATTTCTAAGTCTCTCTGAATATTTGCTCCTTGATCTGTCTTCTCTGAACTATTCCTTGTATTAATGGTTTCTTGGTACTCCTTCAGAAGAATGTAAGTAGCTTTTAGTTCCTCTTTGACTTTCTGTCCCTTTATGATTGGAGGAAAATTAATCAAACTTAGTAGTGAACATCATCATTATCACTTGAACACTATTTTTATATCCAAAAACATTATAAGAGGGAAACTTACTTCAGCTACAATTTCTTTAATGTTTTCTTTGAGTTGGTCTCTTTCCTTTTGAAGGACTTCCTGCACCCTTTCCAGATCATCTCTTTCCTTAATTATGGTTTTTATTTCTTCTTGACTTGCCTGAAGTTTCTCAGTCAACTTGAGCCTCTCGCTTTCTATTCTTTGTAGTGATGAATCTTTGGCTTTGAGATGTTCCTTTAACTGTTCCAGTTCACTCATTTTTTCCTGAGTTTCACTGCTTTCTTTTATGGTAATCAATTGTTTCTGTTTCTCATGAAGCTCTTGGGTCTTAAAAATAATAATAAAATAAGATAATAGCCAAAAATATACTTATGTGCGCACACACATAAAAACGTGTTTATATATGCATATATATGTGTATGTATATTTTTTAAGGAAAAAAATCCAGTATGTCTTCTAAAACAATTTAGGAGGTAAACAGTAGTCTTTGTAATCCAGTTAGCTACCTCCCTTAAGTTTTCTCCCACTGTTCCTTTACTCCCAATTTACCTTTTTCTGTAATTCATCATTTGTTGTTTCTAATTCCTGTTGAATGCTTGATATTTCAGTTTCCCTCTCTGAAAGATCCACTCTCAATTTACCAATAGTTTCCTCCTGTTCTTTTAGGTGACAATGAGCAACTTCAAGTTCCTCTTTGGTTTCTAGGTGCTTCATTATTAAAGGAAATTGCAAGAAATTTATGAAAACACTGTATGATTACACTGTAACTAATTCCTTTCCCCAAAGGTTTAGTTTTTACCAAGATAGTTGCTTACAGAATGCTAAGCACACACACACGAAAAAGGATGAAACCTACTTTAGCTGCCATTTCTCTTATGTTTTCTTGGAGTTGGTTCCTTTCAGATTGAAGAACTTCTTGTAGCCTCTGTAGGTCATCTCTCTCCTTAGCTATAGATTTCACTTCATCATGACTTTCTTGAAGTCTCTCAGACCACTCAAGCTTTTCCATTTCTAGCCTTAGTAGTGCTGAGTCTTTGACTTTGAATTGCTCCTTCAATTGCTCCATCTCACTCATTATTTTCTTAGTCTCATTGTCTTTTTCTTTCATATGGAAGGACTGTTCCTCTTGAGATGCTTGAATCTTAAGAGGATCATAAAACAATACAGTTGGTGCCCAGAGATACTTTATTTTATTTTAGGGGTAAAGAAACAAGGATACTTTCTAAAACAATTAAGTCAGGGATTCAACAGCTCATTTACAGAACAATATTTCCACTCACCCACTCTTCCATTATTCAGATATTTAACACATTTATTGAGTACTCATTGTGTTGTCAGTATCTTATTAGAGATTGGAGATGAAACGGGAAATGACACTTTACATGATCTGCCTTTTTGAGACTTACGCACTTTAGAAGGAAAGATACATATTATACCAGATCTTACCAAACAGAGGTGCTGGGTTCTTTCAGGCTACCAGTGGCAAACCTAACCTATTGTGAGTGCTTAGGAAGGGCTTCCTAGGGGATGGACAGCTTCAGGGGAGATCTAAAAGATGAGAGCACTTGTTAGGCAAAGAGGACTATGGAAATACTACAGGAAGGGAGACCAGAACATCTGAAAGCCATGAGATGCAGAAGAGCAACAGACTAGAGTTGCTGGAGCACAATAAGCAGGAGGAAGAGTGAGATGAAACAGGGCTAGAAACCCGCAAGGTCTGGGATCTAGGGTCTCAAAGGTCATGTGAAGAAGCACGCTGGTGTGTATTTCAAGAGCAATGAGAAGTTATTAAAAGGTTTTAAGAAGAAAAGATCACTTGGGCCAGAAAGGGGAATGAATTAGAGAAGTATGATGTGAATGGGGAGACCAGGTAGGATGCTATTGCACAAAGCCAGAGAGAGGTAATTGTGACTTGGATAAGGGTATCAGCAATGTGGAGAGAAGAGTGGGAGGATTTCACACACAGGTACACACCTTAAAATCAACAAGGTTTGGTTGTTGTATTACAGAGTGAGTGGAGAGGGAGGGATAGTAGTAGGAATGATTCCCAGATTTCTGACTGGATCAGTGAGGAAGATGGTAACGCGTTATGGGATGCTGGGGAAATAGGTTTAAACAAGGGAAGAAAACAGTGTTTTTGACTTTATCCTTTCCTGTAATTTAACATTGCTTTTTCTAAATCATTTTGAATATTTAAGAAAACAACTCATTTTCCATAGTTTCTTAGTATTTACGAGCAATTTTTAGTTGTTCTGTTTCCAATCACTTCATAATTAAGAGACATTTAAAGAAAATTGGTAGGAACATTACAAATGTCATTTTTCCCAAAGACTTATTTATTAAACACTTATTAAAATGGGAGGAAAGGATGAAACTTACTTTAGTCAAAGTTTCTCTAATTTCTTCTTTCAGTTGGTCACATTCAACCTGAAGTGCTTCTTTTGTCATTTTAAGATCGTCTCTTTCCTTAGTGAGAGATTTTATTTCTTCGTGACTTTCTTGAAGTTTTTCAGTCAACCTGAGACTTTCCATTTCTGCACTTGCCAGTGTTTTTGAATCCTTGGTTTTGGATTGTTCTTTCAATAGCTCTGGTTCATCCATTGTTTCCTGAATATCACTGACTTCTTTCACATTAGCAAGTAGCTCCTGTTCCTCATGAAGCACTGGGACCTTATGATATTCATAAAATACCAAGGTTACTATCTAGAGAGTGTTATCATAATTTTTTAAAGGGAAAACATGAGGCAACTTTCCGTAGCAATGAAAGTGATTTTGAACCTTCATGGCCTACCATGGGCCACAAACTCCTATTTATTCATTTTCTCTTGATTCCTACTCAAGCTATTATTCATGACTTTTCTGCTAGTAATAGTCTGTCATAATTGTTTTTTTTCTCCAGCTTACAACCACAGTACACTTTACCAACAAATTATCAATCTGGTCAGTTGCATGCTTCATTTCTATACTAGTTCCCAAATGCAACAGGAGAAAAATCAGAATTGAGCAGATTCTATCTCAATAAATGAATGGCCCCCATTCTCAGATGAATTCTAATGCTACTTCACAAATTTGTTATGTGTACAGATTGATTCCCCCTTTCCATGATCACTAGTGGTACCATGTAGCTTTGCATAGCATATTTCTGCATTTATCATACTGGAATTGAGAGATTTTTTTATATGCCTATATTGGGGAAAAAGAACAATGTCTTATTCATATCCACAGTCTCAATGCTTGGCACATAGTAGGCTTTTAACATAGGTTGGTCCAGTTATCCCAATGTTTCATTTTCTCCATAGCATTTGCTATTATCTAAAATTATACTGTTCATTTGATTGCTTATTTATTGAGAACCTCTTTCCACTACAAAGTAAGTTCTATGATCACAGAGATTTTGTCCACCTTGTTCCCATTTTATTTCTATAATCCAGGACTGTACCTGCTACATTAGACACTCAACAAATACTACCCAATAAATGAATGAACCATAACTCAGTCACTACCTACTGCTTATTTTTCTTTCAGAGAAAGAAAGGAAGAGGGGACAAGGAGCAAAGGAAGAAAAGACAAACCTTTTCTTGCAATTCAGTATTGGATTTCTCTAAGTTCTTCTGAATATTTATTATTTGAGCTGTCTTCTCACAAATGTTTCTTCTTAGTTCTTCAACAGTTTCTTGGTGCTCTTTTAGAAGCATGTGGGCCACTTTTAGTTCTTCTTTTGTTTCTAGACCCTTTATTAGCAAGTTAAATTTAAAGAATAATTGTAATAACATCATCCCAACATTGCCTCCCCCTTTCCAACTGACTCAGTTTTTAAAGAAACATTTAATAGATGAAAGAAAAGGGTATGACTTACTGTAGCTTCAATTTCTCTTATGTGTCCTTTAAGCTTATTTCTTTCTATTTCAAATGACTCCTGTAATTCCTTTAGATCATTTCTTTCTTTGGTTATGAATTTCATTTCCTCAGAATTTTCATGAAGTTTCTGAACCAACTCTAGCCTCTCAATTTTTATACGTTCCAATGTTAATTCTTGGTTCTTTAGTTCATTCTTTAAATTTTCCATTTCATTCATCTTTTTCTGAATCTCGGTCATCTCTTCTTGTACACTAAGAAGTTGTTGCTGTTTTTCTTGGAGTTGTTGGCTCTTAAGAAATATAGTTTTTATAATTACCATTTTGTCTATATCCTCCTAAAATTCTTATGTAAAATGTACTTTGCCAAACTGAAATAATCATTAGCATAGCCCTGCCTACTACTCCAGTATAAACAGACAAGTAACACTAAAAGTAAAGTAACCTTTTAGATAGTGCTTACAGTGGGTCAGATAGGGTCCCACCCCAAATTCAAGTCTGTCCATACTCTGAGAATGTGATCTTCTTTGAAAATAGGGTTTTTGCAGATGTAATTACTTAAGGACTGATAAGAAATATTCCTGGGTTAAGGTGGGCCCTAAATCCAATGAGAGGGTCCTTATAAGAGACAGAAAATGACACACAGAGACACAGAGAAGGTCATAGGTAGATGGAGGCAGAGATTGGAGAGATGCAGCTACAAGCCAAGGGTACCACGGACAGCTGGGAGTCAAGGACAGGAAGAGGCAAGAAAGGATTCTTCCTTAGAGCCTTCAGAGGGAGCTTGGTCGCCAGCATCTTGATTTTGAACTTCCAAGAGCCAGAATTGTGAAAAAATAAATTTTTGTTGTTTAAAGCCATCAAGTTTATGGTAATTTGATACAGAAGCCCTAGGAAACTAACAGAGTGTCACTAGGTTAATCAAAGAAGTAAAGTGAAAATGCGAAAAATTTAAAAAGAGACTAAATATGCAGATATAACTATGCCAAGTAACTATAATTCCACTTCTCCTAAAAACTTGGATAATTTACTTTCATTCCCAATAAGGTCCATATGGGGTGGTCCAAACAAACAATGAGGCATTAACTTTTACATAAACTTACTGATTTCCCTTATTTAGGAGGAATATGAAATAGATGTAAGGTTTTAATATATTCAGTTAAGTTATAGTAAAAAGGATGAGAATTAAGAGAACCCACATTAGGAAAAAAAAATACAGAAGCACAATGGAAATCACAATATATTATCTATAATGCATGTGGCACTACTACTAGAATATACAGAAAGATCTTGGTGGGTGCATTTTAGAATTACTTGGGGAGTACAATTGTTACAAGGGTCTTAGCTCTTCTATAAATTTTACAATAGCACCTTATTGTAAATATCTAAGAGATGGTAATACAGTCATCCCCTGGTATCCATGAATCCCTGTGGATACCAAAATTGGTGGATGTTCAAGTCCCTTATATAAAATGACACAGTATTTGCATATAACCTAAGCACACTCTCCAGTATACTTTAACTCATCTCTAGATTACTCATAATACTGAATACAATATAAATGCTACGTAAATAGTTGTAAATACTATGTAAATAGTTGCCTGTGTGTGGCAAAATTCAAGTTACACATTTTGGAATTTTCTGGAATTTTTTTCCCCTGAATATTTTTGATCAGTGTTTGGTTGAATCCATGGATGCAGAATGTGCAGGTATGGAGGGCCAACTGTAGAGATAAATTTTACATTTTAGAGAATAACTAATATATCTCTATAAGGGCAGAATCTTTGTTTTGTTGACTAATGTATCTCAAGAGCCCAGAACAGTGCCTGGCCCATGGTGGTACTGTATGAATGTACAGTACTTGATGAATGAATATATCAAATGATTCGTTTAGATGAAGGCCCCCTCTCTCATTTAAAGACTAAAAAAATATAATCCTCACAAAGGATGTTAGTTAACATCTCAGTAGGAGTTGAAATTGTCCAAAATATTAGCATTAAGATCTGTTCATTGGCAAGGTATGTATTATTTCTGGAATTTAGGTCTGCTGGAATCAAATTTATTACCAAAAAAAAAAAAAAAAGAAAAAAAAAGAAAAAGTTTAGTCAGAAAAAATGACCAGGAATATAACTTTAAAAAGTCACCTTTTCCTTCAGCTTTTCTTCAACTTCTGCCAGTTTTTCACAGGTCCTAGAAAGCTCTTCTTCTTTCTTTATGGTATGGCTTTTTTCTTGTGCAACTATCTCTTGTTGCTTTTTAAGTTCATTTCCAAGAATTCTTAATTCTTCCTGGTTTTCAATGGTCTGGAATTTAAAAAAAAAGCTGAGATTAAAATACTAGCTTACATTTATGAAATCAGGTAAAAATCAGCATTTGCCTTAGCCTGAAAATGAAGAAATCATGGCAAACTACATTGGAAAAGACTAATTAAAAAGAGTCTTAACTTAATCATATAAAGGTCAAGAATCTGCTTTTTTAATACTGTTTCTTTATTGCTCATCTTACATTCTTATCATGAGAATTAGAACTGGATTTTGTATTCTGTCATGAGAGGTTTGCTCATTTTCTACCCCTAAGCCAAAAGAGACTTTCTAAGCTTCTGTTGACAACAGATGATATATGAGACATATATATATTTATATATATATATGGTTATGGGCTTTTCATATGCTGGAATGACTTTGGTTTTTTTTTTTTTTTTTTGCGGTACGCGGGCCTCTCACTGTTGTGGCCTCTCCCGTTGCGGAGCACAGGCTCCGGACGCACAGGCTCAGCGGCCATGGCTCACGGGCCCAGCTGCTCCGCGGCATGTGGGATCTTCCCACACCGGGGCACGAACCCGTGTCCCCTGCATCGGCAGGCGGACTCTCAACCACTGCACCACTAGGGAAGCCCATGACTTTGGTTTTATACATTGCTTAATAGCAAGCTCAAAATGGCAGCATCCTTTGCTAGCATAAAGTCGGTTAATCCTAGTTATTAAGCTTAAACTGTGACTTTCTCAAGTATCAATATCACAAAAACATCACAAGCCAGAGACTGAGAAACAAATATGACTTTTGTCTGTATTCTTATTTACATTCAGCAATTTTAACCAAACAGACAATCCCAAGGAACATGGAAAACTGCACAAAAGGTCAGGTTCTACTGTGATCCATAGCAAACTTCTCAAAATATTAATTTCAATCTAGACACATTATATTGTCCTTAAATTTAGAAACAAAAAATAAAATAGGTTTGAAAATATTGGCAAACATTAACAACAAATAATTTAAAGTGAAATAAAAAAATTACAACAGCGTAAATAGAAGAGAAACATTTAGGAACAACTTTAACAAAATATGGAAAAGACCTGTGCACTGAAATCTATAACACATCACTGAGACAACAGATAATTTATAGAAAGATACACAATGGCCAATAAGCCATTTCATGCTAATAAGCATGAAGAGACGCTCAATATCTTTAGTCATTAGGGAAAGGCAAGTGAAAACAATAAGGTACACACCCAATAGAATGGCCAAAATTAAAAACACTGACACTATGAAGTGTTGGTGAGGATGTGGAGCCCTCAGTATTCTCTTAATTTGCTGATGGGAATGTAAAATGGTACCAACTACTTTGGAAATCAGTCTAGGAAATTTTCATCAAGTTAAATATACATCTACCTATGAGCCAGCTATTCCATTTAGATAGTTACCCTGGAGAAATAATAAAAAAAAAATGTTCATAGAAAGATCTGTATATGAATGTTTATAGCATCTTTATTCAAAATAGCCAAATAGTGGAGATAACTTAAATTTCTACCAATAGGATAAAGTCTAAACAAATTGTGGCCTGTTCATATGATGGAACATTACCCAGCGATAAGCAGGAGAAGAAAGAAGACACAAAAGAGTGTATGCTGTGTGATTCTATTTGTATGACATTCTAGAAGGGAAAGGCAAGTGAAAACAATGTGATTAAGTGATTAAGGTAAAAAAAAAAAAAAGGACAGTGACTATATGGGGCAGAGGGTAAGATTAGGATCAAATAGATCAGAACTCAAGGGAACTTTTTGGGGTGATGGAAATATTCCATATCTTGACTGAGGTGAAAGGTACACAAGTAGAGACATTTGTCAAAAGTCATCAGACTGTGCTCTTGCATCAGATACATTTATTGCATGTAAATTATACCTCAATAAAGTTGGAAAAATCTAAAATGTACAAAGACAAAACTGTATAGCTAAGTATACAGTGCTAAATCCTACCATTTCAATGCTTTCCCTTAGGTCAGTCTTCAGTTGTTCCTTTTCTGCTGTAATACTCTCTAACATTTGTTGCAGTTCATTTTTCTCCTGTATTAAAGAAGATATCTTTCTCTGTTGCTCAATTAGCTCATTATCCTCAACATCTGCAATCAGTGCTTGGGTTTTTTTGGCTTCCAAATTTTGTTTTTTATCTATGCCAACCATCTAAAATATAAATACATTAAAAGAATTTCTTAGTTAATAATAATTTTAATAATAATAAAAAAAGCCAACATATATTACTTATTATGTACTAGGCACTATTTTGATATATTGACACGTTTAATCATCACTATAACCATATGAGGTAGGTACTAGTATTATCTCCATTTGACAGATGAGGAAACAATACCAGGGAGGATAGGTCACTTGCCCCAGGTCACCCAGGGAAGAATAACCAGGTTTTGAATCCAATAGTCTGGCTCCAGAGTGTGTGCTCTTGTGCCTGTTCACTGATAAGAACTACCTGGACAGCTATAGATAATTAACAATTATCTTCACGTATGATGGGTTAACCTGACTTTATGAAAAAGTAAGCCGCCTTGAACTCTATCACTTTATTTTTTTCCTTAAAAGCTGGAAATCATTCCCTAGCCCCTATTCCCAATTAATCTTTATTTTCAGAGGTAGTCATACTCACCAAAGCTGGAGTTTTATTACATGTAGAGGGCAAAATAATTTTGGTAGAAATATATCTCACATTATAATAGCATAATTCATCTTTTCTTAATATACAATTTTCATTTACTGCTTAAGAAAAGCATGTTATATAAATTCATTTATCCATAAATAAGTCTTAACCAAAGGTAACTTAAAATGTGAACTCCTTGGTAAAAGGACATAAAGACTGACATTACAATTGTTGGCATGAAATTAGAGTGTCACTATATAACCTTATAGTAGCCCAATAAATATATTCAGTTCCATACTGGCCACATATGTTTTAAAAAGTTTTTATAGTAATCTATAAGTAACATTAGAAAAAAAATTGAAAAATAAAGAGAAAAAAATGTCATCCAGTGTCACCAACACAACCACTATTAGAGTTCTAAAATATTTCATTCCAGTATTTTCCATTAACTTTTTTTAAAACATAGCCATCATAATTAATTTACATATATAGGATTCAATTTAGCTTTTCTTTTTCACTTAGATCATGTGCAGTTTCCCATACTGCTACGTAATCTTCAAATTAGTATTTTTAGTAGTTGCTCTATTCTCTAAAGTGGATATGGACAAACCATATTTTGTTTAGTTAACCTCTTAGTGTTGGCAATATTCATGAGCTTCTGACAATGGTGCACACAGAGCTAACTACTGGGTTGGTCAAAAAGTTCGTTTGGTCAATGAATACATTGTTCAATACATTTCTTGGTGAAAATGAAAAATGTGTCTTTTATTTTTACTTAAAATCAAACGAACTTTTTGGCCAACCCAATACACGAGGTGGGGAACATATAGGCTTTGGGAGCAGTTTGTCAGATATTATAATTCAGAAGCCTGCATCTTTACTCCTAAACAAAGGAATATACACAAAGACAAAACAGATGGAGAGGAAGTATTCTATAATGATGCCGAAGGCACATTTCAAAACTGAACTCAGCCTAGGAAGCATTTCAGCTACCATGGTTATGAGTAAAATCTAATTTCTGTTGAGACACACTAGAGAAATTGCATTTCCAGAGAAACACATCAAGCAGGACTGAAAACGGGTACTCCAAGGGATTCCTGATAGACCTACTTAATGGAGTTCTGTGGTACCCAGATGAACAGAGGGCCCCTGGAAATTCCCAGACCCACTCTTTTATCTACATGGGTGATTCCAGCATGAGCAAGGTTATCACAAGAACAAGGTGATCTCAGACTTCCAGCCCAGGTTTCAAGATCTCTAATGAACAGAATGGCCCCAGAGAATCCCATCAGACTCTTTTGTCACCATGGGCACTTCTAGCATGAACATAATACTACAGGAGCCAGTTGGTCCCACTGAGTATAACTCTTCCTTTCCCTCACTTCTCCTCTACTGCTTCCTTCTCATGGGGCCCTATGATTGCATTTTTCATTTGTTTAAAAGCAGCTATACATTGTTGTATCTTATTTTAAAAAAAACTGTTCAAAAAACCTTCCCCCTGTGAAAGTAGAAGTTATAAATTTCAAATCAAGGTCAAGAACCTTTGGCCCATGGTTGATCCAAATTATAGATAAGCTGAGAGAACACAAGATAATAGTGGAAGTGAAAATGCTTTTCTAGGAGAGAAGGACTCAAGAATAGGGAGAGAGAAGAGAAAGCTCATTTTCCAAGGCAGGAATATTGTGTGCCTGGGTAAAGGGGGAAAAAAGAAGCTAATTAGACTATATCAAAATTTAAAGCTTCTGTGCAAAAAAGGACAAAATCAACAGAGTGAAAAGGTAACCTATGAAATGGGAGGAAATACTGGCAAATCGTATAACTGATAAAGGGTTAATAACCAGAAAAATACAAAGAACTCTTACAACTCAGTAACAACAAAAAACCAATTTAAAAGTGGGAAAAACTTGAACAGACATTTCTGCAAAGAAGATAAACATATAGCTTACAAGCAGTCTGTGATATTTTGTTATGGCAGCCTTAGCAGACTAATATACCTCCCTTTAAAAAGTTACCATTAGCATCCTAGTTTTTCTTATATATAATTGAATAACTAGTTAAGTAGTTTTTCTCCTAAGGTCTCAGGACAAAATGAACCATTTTACCTAGAATGAATTAAGGCAAGATTTAAGCACCTAATAGTAAAATTATGGTCCAAACCCTAAAAATAGATACAAATACGATACATACATTGATTCTATAGCAAACTCTAAACAAATATAGTATACAAAATCCAACATAAAACAAATATTTTAGTCATAATTAATAATAAGCACTGAATCTTTCTTACATTCTTAGGATTCAGAGGGGCTTTTAAAGATGTGTAAATTACAATAGGCCTTAGAAAAGTATCAGCTCAAAGTCCGAACTAGTATTTTTTTGTCTTTTCCTTTTCAAATTGATTGTAAGCAGTTATATTTGAAGTTATTTCAAAGACATAAGACTTACGCGTGTAAATTATTCTGAGCTATTACCACTGTGAATAATAAATAAGATTGAGATTACTGTTCTGCACTTAAGCGTTTGAGGTTAAGGAGAAAGCTCATAGACAAGCATATAAAAACTTTGAACAGAAACACCCTTTACCTTCTCCTGAAATTCATCCTCAGTTTCTCCTAAGTTGTCCTCTATATGCAAATTCTTGGAAGTTTCCTCAGAAATTTTCATTTTTAGTGTGTTAATCGTTTCTTGGTGTTGTTTCAAAGACTCAAGAGCATTTCGTAGTTGTTCCTGGGTGTCTATATTCTTTGTCAGAGAAATAGAAAATAATTTCCATTAGAATGTGAAACAATGAAAATAATTTTATAGCTATTGCTTGATCATATATAATAAATGATGGCTCCTGTAATGTTCTTAAAGAGGCTCTGAGATTTCAAAGTTTAATCAGTCAAAACCTTACCATGTTTATAGTATCCTGAATGTCACTTTTGAGTTGGTCCCTCTCAATTTGCAGGCTCTCTTGGAGTTGTTTTTGATCATCCTTTTCTTGGGTTAAGGTTTTTACTTCTACTAAGGTTTGTTGAAGTTTCTCAGTAAGCAGTGTTTTCTCCTTTTCTACAGTGTGAAGCCTAGAATCTCTACTTTCTAATTGTTCCTTCAGCTCTTCCACTTCTTTTAACCTTTTTTGATTCTCAGTTGTTTTCTGCTGAAGTTCTTGGGTTTTGTGAGAGAGCTTTAAGATAAGAAAAAGTAAATGTGAAAAGCAGAGCATTCTGCGACGTACACATGGAAGCCAAACCCCATTAAGACTAAAGATCATTTCCCTAGAGGGTGTCTTGTACCAACCTCTGTCTTCAAAGCATCCAAATTTAAACCAGGTTCTTGAGCTTCTTTAGAGAGATTTCCTATTTCCTGTTTCAATTTTGCATTCTCTTCAAGGACCATCTTATACTTTTGCTCAAATTCAATATGATGATTTTTAACATCTTGGAATTCTTGATCAGTGCTTTCATAATTCACCTGGGAAGTTGCTAGGTCATGTTTAGTTTTCCCAATTTCTTCAAGTAAATCTTGAATTCTACTTTCCTTATGAGCTACTTCAGAAAACAATTTATCTTTTTCCGATGTTATTATACAGAGCTCTTCAGATTTATCATGTATCTATGGAAAAGAAAGCAAACTTAGCTATGTTAGCAATATATGATCTACTTAAGCAATTTTCAGGAAAAAACTTTCTCTGCCTCACCTCAATTTCAAGACATTGAAATTAAGCAAAGGTTTGACTGAGGAAAGGCAATATTTTTATTGTGACATCTCTTTAACAATATATTATCCTGTTTAACTTTACCTTCAAAGTTTTGATTTCTAATCTCTGGTTCTAGTAAGGATTGCATGGAGAAGGACAGTAGAAACACAATCAGCATGTGCCTTTAATTCCTCACCTATCATTTTAAAGTGTTTTCTAACTTTCTGGTGTAGCAGGCATTTCATGGTTTTTCTTAGAATTTGACTTATATTTCTATTGCTAACAAATTGAGTCAGGCATTTACAGTCTCTTGGCTGGTACTTTAAAATAAAATATGGCAAAATATTTAAGGCACTATTGCAAAGGTTTTTATTTTAAGGTAAGAGTTGTTTGCTTAAAAAAGTGTTTACCTCCTTCCTTAGCATTTCTACTTCTGAAGGTAAAGATTTCAGTTCTGAGAGCAAACTAACTTCTTTGTGCAAAGCTTCATTTTCTTCGACTTCCTTATTCAGTGCTTTCTGGAGATGGGTAATTTTCCTTTCCAATTCCATATTAGACAGTAAATCTAGGAAATTTTTAGTAAGTTAAATAAAACAGCTTGCAGTTGTTGGGTAAATCTAAATTACATACATAGTTAGATTATTTAACCAGATTATATAAAATTTATTAAAGAAAGAGCCAGTGTTGGTAAACCACTCATCTAATTGTTAATCACCTTGTCCAAGACTGGGTTCAATTTATTTGAAAAATAACTTTTAAACCCTTATGGTTTGAGGTCCAAGGAAACATTTATAAATACAGATACCAAATGACATTAAAACTTCACATTAAGCTATTAAAAACACCAGAGAATAATGGATTTTTAATTACTGCAATATAGTTGCAAAATCTTTTAGGTACATTTCTGTATAAAGTCAGATTTGCAAAGAGATAAGTCTGAAATGATGAAATACCTTTTGGAACTTTGCCATCTATAAGGGAGGTGAGTTTTGTTATTTCATTAAAAGAAGATTGTAATTCTTTCTCCAGATCAACTTGCATTTTCTTTTTTGCCTCCAACTGGCTTTGATATAACTCAATATCATTTTCCATTTGCTTGCATGTACTTGCAAGTTCTTTCTATTGAGAGAAACACTGCAGATTCACAGAAATGTACTGATCATTGCAACTGTTTTTACAAATATTACAAAAATAACTTACCATTTTTTCTTTCACCTTTAGATTTTCACTTCTGAGAAAGGCTGATTCTCTCTTGGCATCAAGAGCTACAGTTTCAGCATCAAGCAGAGTCTGTTTCATTTGTTTTAAGTCTTCAGTGTTTTCCTATACACATGACAAAAAGGATTTTGTGAAATCTAACTTTGTTAGAGTTGGAAAAGACTTAACACGTACACGTATGTTATTCCTAACAAATCAAAAATGGTTAAAATATGCGAATTGCCAAATGTATTTTTGGAATAGATTAAAAAATTAACATTTCAAATAGTAAAAATATTTTAGGGAATTCCCTGCATTCTAGTGGTTAGGACTCGGTGCTTTCACCGCTGGGGCCTGCGTTCGATCCCTGGTCGGGGAACTAAGATCCTGCAAGTGGCACAGAGTGACCAAAAAAAATATATTTAAAAAATTCTGGCTATATTTTTCAAAAGGATAAAAGCATTGTATAGAAGTACTATAATTCTGTTATTGTTTAAAAAGGTTAACACAATTATTGCTCAGCTAGCCTCTTAAAGTTTGATATGTATTTTTATTTTAAGTTACTCTCTGCAAAACATGACAGATGACTAGCTAATAGTTAAAATTAAGGATGTTAAATCACAAATTGCAAAGAAAAAGATAAATAATCCAACAGAAAAATAGAGAAAAGATATGAACAGGCAACTCACAGAGGAGAAAATGCAAATGACTGATAAATACATGAAAAAAAATCCACAGTCGGGCTTCCCTGGTGGTGCAGTGGTTGAGAGTCCGCCTGCCGATGCAGGGGACGCGGGTTTGTGCCCTGGTCCGGGAGGATCCCACATGCCGCGGAGTGGCTGGGCCCGTGAGCCATGGCTGCTGGGCCTGCGCGTCCGGAGCCTGTGCTCCGCAATGGGAGAGGCCACAACAGAGAAAGGCCCGCGTAACGCAAAAAAAAAAAATAAATAAATAAATAAAAAATCCACAGTCTCATTTTTAGAAAGAAGTGGCATTTCAACATGACTTGCACTTACATGAATTCAACCGTATGTACTTGGCAAAATATTAATGCAAACATGCATGCATGAATGAATAAATAAATTGGATGAATAAAGAGAAAAAAATAAACATCAATTTAAAAAAATGGGCAATTCTATTTGCCATTCTATCAACAGATACTCCAGGATGATATGAAAGTGCCTTTCTTCCCAGGGCCTCAGAACAATGAGAACACTTTTAAAAAGAATCACTTGTCATTAATAGAAGGTAGCAAAAGAGTACTAATAGAAGGTAAGAAAAAGTACTCTGAAAAACTCAAATGAAAACAAAAGAAGAACAATAGAAACTAATATTCTAAACTTTCCAGCTAGTAACTGTTGCCTTTTTAAAAAAGTTAAAAACTAGAATCCAACTGATAGTTTCTTGAAGTAATCAGGTGGATTGAAAGCAAATAGGAAAAAAAAGTTAATTTCACCATGAGATTCAATACTATTTAATGCCATGATCTTATACCAACTAAAATCACCTACAGCTATAGCTCTGAAAAATATCAAACTGTTAAAATAGTTACATAATTATAATGAGAATGCATTAATATCTATTAATGAAATTAATGAAATTTATGAAATCATGCTCAATTACATGTTTTACAGTTCTAGTTACTAATCAACGTTAAGTGCTTACCTGAAGATATTGACTATACACTTCTGCACTTGTATAAAACAATTGCAAAACATTAAAATTTTTTGAATTACTGATTTTTAATGGAAGCTCATCTCTAACTTACTTATAGTCAATCAAAGGATAATATCCTTAACTCTCTATGATTCTTTATCCATAAAATGGCAATGATACTAATAGTGCCTCTCTCATAGGGTTACTGACAGGATTAAATAAAATACTATATTTAGAACGATTAGAACAATGCCTGGCACACAGTAGGCTCAATATAAACATTTGCGATGATGATGATGACAGTATACTACAAATGCCAAAATGATGACACAACAAAATAAACCTGATTTTTACCGATGAGTATGGCAAGTCCATTTCCATACTTTCTGACTTCTGAGAGTCTATGTATTTCTGTAGCTTCTTAATCTGGTCTTCCTTTTCTCTAAGCAGCTCTACTTTTGAACTTAGTACATCCTAAAACAATTAAAGGAGAATGAAACAATTTAACTGGGTTTTAATTCTAAGGAATTAAAAAGAAATTATATTTAATAGTTTAAATTGGTAGATAGTAAAATTCAAAACGTTGATATTTAAAGAATATAACTCCTTCTATTTTCTGAAATCATGCTCAATTACATATGATATATGTTTTATAGTTTTTGTTCCTTATCAATAGAAATACCAACATAAATGCTCACCTCAAGATCTTGATTATACACTTCTGCATGCTTAACTAAATTCTTTAAGTTGGAAATTTCATGAATTAGTTGCATCTGTAAGAGCATGTGAACAGGCAACAGAGCAAACCAATAGTTAATAAAGCAAAAAAAAAAAAAAAAAAAAGATAGCATTCATTCACCGCTTTAGAATCACCCAACACAATAAGAAAGACTGGGAGATCAGTTTAGTTCAACTACCAGAGATCAACCATTCAAGCTACTGCAATGAAGCACCTCATTATTTAAAAATAAATAAATAACTAAAACCCAAACTCAACCAACCAAACAAAAAACATCCCCAAACCCCACAAAACAAGCAAATAAGAAAAAAGCCTAAGCATGACCCCCAAAACAGTTATGTCATGTTAATAAAGCTACAATAAGGTCAAAAGCAAATTAGTACCCACCACTGTATAAGATAGAGTGGTAATCAAACCTTTATAAAAAACATACTTTAAATAGATTTTTGTTTTGGGTAAGCTAAGTGCAGAAATGTATTTATTCTATAAGATTTTTTTCTCTTCCCATAAATTATCCACCTAGCTTTATACTGGCATACTTTTTAATGAGTTGTGACTTGGAATTTAGGTTTGGATTATGACAGTTTCATGTGGTACCTTTATAATATTATTATAAGAAAATAATATTTTCTTCACCAAAGCTAAAGAGATATGTATGGCATTATCAACTATTACCTTGCTGGTTTATTCTACAGGAAATACTGGAAAGATGATGTTATTGCTTTATATTGTTCAACTGTCTAAAAGTATAAAGAATACTTAAAGATACAAGTACTTCTATTAAAGTTAACTTTTTATCAAAATATCTGTAGCATTAAATATTTGAGTACCAGAAACTTCTGTGTTCAAAAGAAGTAAACTACAGTTTAACAAAGATAAACATAATTACCCTGAGAATTATTTAATCATTATCAGATGAGTCCTTAAAGAGTAAAAGCAAATTCTAGTCAAATGTAAGGGACTTACAAAAATAGCACCTTGTTTAAATAATATTTTCTGGATGTCTAATTCAGTCCTGACTAGTTTTAGATTTTAGACTAGTGCTGGTTTGACATTCGTATTTTAGGTCGGCATGAGTCAACAGAAATATAATGTGAGCCAAATTTATAATTAAAATTCTTCTAAAAGCCACCTTTAAAAAAAGTAAAAAGAAGCAGGCAGAATTAATTTTAATATAATTTATCTAACCTAATATATGCAAAATATTATTTCTTCATCAGTATTAAAAAATTAATGTAATATTGTATATTCTTTTTTTCATACTTAAGTCACTTGAGACTGGCCCCATTCCAAGTGCTCAATTGCCATATGTGATGAGTGGTTACCATTGTTCAGCAAAGTTTTAGACATCTGTATTGATTATAATTTAAATTGGCTCTATCTTTTACCTTTTCTTCTGTTTCTAACTTTTGTGCAAGAAAACCACATTTGTCAGGAATGAAGAACTAAATAATCAACATTAATCTTTGAAAACATCTAGAAAGGAAAGTTCCCCCACTTCTCATTTGCAATCACTCTTCATTTTAAGTACTGGTTCACACAAACAGAAAAAGATTAAGTCACTTTTGAAAAGAGCTGAGTACACTCTCCCAATGATGTTTAAGATGCAGAGCATAGAGAAAGTACACGATATGATAGGGTTAATCCACTGTTACAAAGAAAATATTGCATATTTCAACTGTAATTTTCAGCAGGTGAAATGAAATAATTAACTTCTTAAACATCTCCAAGTTGTGAAAATTATAAAATTAAATCAAGTTAAAATAGGTAGAGAGATGAAATTTCTCTTGTTCCCTGATCGTGATAATACTTGACCTTGTTTATTCCTTTCTCTAAAATTACTATTCAAACATCTTATATTACTGTATCCCCACTTGAAAATTATCCACAGCTTTAGTGATTTTTGACAAAACCCTTAGGAAACTAGGGCAATGGCCACATATTCTAAGGCCGTAATTTGACCTTTACTCCGTTTTGGTTAAACTTTTCCCCAAAATGTAGGTTTCAGAACATATTTTGTTGCATACACTACACTTGTATTTGTAGTTTAACATGAAATGCATATTGTAAAACTGTCTTTGAACAGAGTAAGTTTATATTACTTAAACTTTTAGGTTACCTCACAGAACCTAGAATTTCAATGTGTGTCCAAGTAAAAGTAAAGAGAATAGGATTATTTTCCCCCTTAACTGTAAAAAGAAAAAAAAAAATCGAGATGTTAGATTCAAGGCATATATTCTGTGTTATTTTGTAATCTTTTCGTGTGTGAGTCAATTCAGTGAGCATTGATTTTAATAATTAATTGAATGTATAAGTGATGTAAGAAAAATTAGAGAAATTACTGCTACACATATGCCCAAAGGTAATTTTATACCTTATTTTTTATAAGATATATACAAAAAAATTAGGTGAGATTTTGGAGTTAGAAGGGGACTTGGCAAGCTCCCGATCTAACTTCAAGGAGGAAGATACACAAAAACGTAAGCCCTGAGAGATGTGATGACTTGCTCAAAGCCTTGCCAATAATTCGTGACAGGCTCAAATCTGTGGTGAGCTAATAAACAGCAGAACTAGGGCTTCATTCCAGGTAGTTTGCTCCAGAGACCGTGCTCTTAACCACAACACTAGAGCACCCCCTCTCAATAAAACTGTTTATGAAGTCTACTGTTCTTTTCATGAAGTTTTACATTCTGTGAATTCACAAATTTTAAAACAAATTAAATGAAAGTCTGTAGAGAAGTTATAGACTTTTGCCTCTCAGGATATAATACCTATGAAATGTAGGAGTAAATGTAATTTGTAGGTAGAACAGAAATAATAGTTTTGGCACAGAATTTTTTTTTCTTTTTAAAAAAGAAAAGTAGGTGAGAAACTTTGATACTGAGGAAAAGGAACTGTGTCCCTTTGGGCTCTCCATACAGAAATAAGTAGCTGCAAATTAACTCATGTTTTACCTACATCAAAACACCAGCTCTTATTTTTGAGGGGATTCGTGGATCACGTCACAAGTCTGATAACAGCTATGGATTCTTACTCCACAAAACTGAATATGCACTCCAAAATTCTATAGAATAATTTCATAGGGTCTATGAACTCTAGGTTAAAGACTCTCCACACTAAGAAATTGCTTGAATTCTTCTGGACAGTTACCAAGTCCCCAAAGTCTGATGGTTTATGGATTACATTCTCTTAACATGTAGCCTAATATTACACACTTGAAAAATTTAAGTGATCCATTTCATTTCTAAAAATTCCATTAAAATTATTTAGTATTAATTATACTAATTTTCACAGTAACTTTCTTATATGGAAAAAGAAATGTGCAAAATTAGCTTCCCTAGCTATTCTAATGTTCTAGCTATTTAGGAAAATATTTTCTAAAGAAAACAAAATCCATTAATAGGTAGTATCCATATATAAAACATTCAGCAACATATTAAAATTCATGTCGGTCTCAGTAGGAAATGGCTACGTTCTAGGCAGGACTTCTGATATGTTAATAAATTAAATATTTTAATATACAAATTATAAGGAAATAACTTCTTCAAGACAAATCCATCAATAGGCACATTCACCAAACCTTCCTAAAGATGTTCTTAATTTCTTCTTCTTGTGCATAAGCACAAGTGAAACAAATATGATTCAACTCTTTTAAAATAGAAATAAATTATTTCTCAAATTCTCTAAATTGTGTATACATATGGAAAATGGTTGGATCCCCAATATCTCAACCTTAGAAATACCTTTAAGAGAATGATACTTCATTTAAATGTGTGGTTTTAGTTTAGTTTCATATTTCCACATCCTTTACCTCTTGATCTTTCTCTGCTTTTCTTTCTAGAGCCTCAAATTCATCCAAATCATTCTTTTCTTTTAATTTCAATTCCATTTCTTCATTTTCTCTTCTTAGTTGTTCATAGTCTAACACCAGATTATCATAGTTTGCACGAAGTGAACTCAATTCACTTTCTAAGTTTTCCTATTGCAAACAAAACCAAATTTCAAGTCAGAGAGAATTCCAATCATATATTGTTTGTTTCCTTAACAAAATTTGGATTAACCAAATAATTAATTTAACCTTGAATCGTTTGGTGGTTTAGGCCATTTTCTTCTTCAATAACTTTTTAATGGTCTAGCTTGATCCAGAGTGATAAAGGATCTGCATTTTGGTAAATTAGCTAACTTAGAATAGAAGACGACTATTTTGAAAGGGTTAAAATTTAAAACAAAAAACATAAACAAATGCTCTGTCTGTGTCTGACTAGAAAAGCTGAGTCAGAAGTAGGAGGTAGCGCTCATAATGGGACACAGATCCTTAAGCTCCTTAGTAATAAAGCTGATAGTTTAACTCTCCACCTGTCTGACTACTATCTTATTTCTCAGGTAGCTCTGAATCTAGGAAATGAAACTGAGGGATTATTTATTGACCTTTAAAACTCTAGTGGCCTTAATTAGAAGCAAAACTGTTACTGAAATTAAGTCAGAGCTAGAAATGTGTTACAACAACAACAATAAACCCCGATAACAAATGAATTTTAAAAAGAGTAAAAGGATAATACTCTGTAAAATACATTTAAGTTACCTGACTTAGTAGCTTTGTTGCTGGATTCCACTCTATCTCAGTTAATGTATCAAGAGTGTTACTGAAAATATCAGACTCTGAACAGACAGCTATAATTAGAGGGAAAAGAAATTTATCCATAAACTTGTTATTAAGTTTCTTAAAACTCAAAGATAAAAAAAAATCTGATCAGAGGTAATAAACTCAAATTAGCTAATACGTGCTCACAGTATGATCATAGCCAAGAATACATTAACAACAAATGTGATCATTTAAATTATTATGTCAATTAAGATCACTGGTTAGAATGAGTGATAACATACAGGGGTCCTTAATACAATATAGGTAAAAAGGACAAATTCTAAATTTGAGATTTGATTATTTTAAGTAGATTTAAAAATGCCCCTAAAAAATATTTATAACTATGTTGGAGACATAATTTTGAAAGGGATTCCTGTGTAAACGCCATCCTTTCAAGGTTAGCAGAGTTTAAGGCTGATGTTTGTTATATGGATACTAATTTAACTAGATAATGATTAGAATAAAAACATGTGTTTCAACTATAATGCATTATTCTTAAGAAATCTAGAAATAGAGAACGTCATGAACGTTCACTTTCTTAAAATTACTTATTTTTATCATTATCTCCATTGTAATTACACCTAAAATACATACATTTTATTTAAATGTGTTTATCACATTAATTGAGTTATAAATAAAGTCTCTCTTTATAGGGATGTTTTTATAATTAAAAGTAATTGAAAAAGTACTCACATTCATCAATTTCTCCTAAAGTTACAGCAGCCTTATGTGTTTTTGTTGTTACATTCACTGGCATATTGAATTCATTTACATAGTTTGAGTCTTTCATTTTGTTAATTTTGCCAAGGCACCAAGTAACTCTTCGTTTTTTTTTAGCCTGAAGAGAAAGAAATCAAAATTACCTCACACAGATCTGGGCTCAACATCTTAAAACAAGGGAACTAGTTTCCATTTTAAAAAACCATTGGGACTTCCCTGGTGGTCCAGTGGTAAAGAATCCACCTTCCAATGCAGGGGACGCAGGTTCGATCGCTGGTTGGGAAACTAAGATCCCACATGCCGCAGGGCAACTAAGCCTGCGCCACAACTACTGAGCTCCTGCACCTCAACTAGAGAGCTCCCACGCTGCAAACTACAGAGCCCACGTGTTCTGGAGCCCACACGCCACAACTAGAGAGAGAAAACCTGTGGCCACTAGACAGAAGCACTGCAACAAAGAGCCCACGCGCGGCAACAAAAGATCCTGCATGCCTCCGTGAAGATCCTGTGTGTCGCAACTAAGACCCGATGCAGCCAAAATAAATAAATAAAAACAAACAAACAAACCCAAAACAAACAAACAAAAAACCCCATCGACTTGGCAGAATGTTTACTAAATCTACTTTAATATCTTACCAGTTTAAGGATAACCTGAGTTAAGAAAACATATTCAAACTTTTCAAATCAGTATTTAACCTCATAATAAATTTGATGAAACTACTATTTAAATTACATATTTTATTAGAAGGTTTACTTATAAGCTTTTCTGGAATGTAACTGAAAGGAATCGGTTGACTCTCAACTCTTCAAGTAACCTGGGGGTATACAGAAGGGACAGCTGTCGCTGCCCCCTTAGAGCTACTGAAAGCACTTTTGGGTGCCCAGTTCTGTTCCCCTCAGTTATCTGTTCATCTGTCATCTTCCCTAGCTCCTTCCTCTTAGCTGTACGAATGCTCAAGCCTATTTATCTGCTTTTGAGTTTTAAAAAAAACAATCCCTTGCCTCCTCACTTCTCTCTAGCTACCATTTTCTTTTAGTTTCTACATTGTCTTCTTCCTCATCATCTATCTACTTCTTCCTCATCCCTTCAGGGGCATTTCTGTCTCCTGATTCTTATCCCACCCAGCTAGCTGTCTTCATCTCTCATTCTGCTTTGCTGGTTTCTCTTCCCCTGCCCACTTCCTAAGTGCTTGTGTCTTTCCATATTTCACAGCTGGCATTCTTCTCTTGTGTCTCTACTAGTACAAGCATTATCTCATCTTATTTGATCCTCTCAACAATCCTCTATTACTACATCCATTTTATAGTTGAGCTGGGTGTCCAGAAAGTTTGGAGAAGCTGAGTAGAGTCATACAGCCAACTGGAAGCTGAGCCCATGCCTGTTAACTTCAGAGCCTATCCACCAACCATTCTACTGCGTTGCCTGTCAACATTATCTGCTGTCCCCAGAATATTCTGCATGCTTTCATGCCTCTACCACATATTACCCTTTTGCTTGAAATAGCCAGCCCTTTCCACAGCCTGCTCTGCAAAAACCGAGTTGTATATACATGTTTGACTCCAAAGACCTTCACCTCAACTCCACGTGCTCCCAAAGCCACTCCTGGACCTTGTCATTATCTCAAACTCAAACCCAGACCTGCTCTTAGTACAGTGGCTATCCTCCACTTTCTTGATCCAGTTAATTCCATTATAGTTACTTAGCTTACAAGGTACCTTACTTTATTCCTGTTTTTCTCTTCCTATCATCTTAGATTCCATAGATCATCACTTCAACCATGTTTTTGGGTCAACAGCCTCAAATTATTTGACCCAATCTCTGTTCCCCAAACCTATTCCAACACAGTGTACACACAGATGAATTACACTGTCTTTTAAGACTTTATCAGCCTCCTGAACACTGCCAGGGCATACAGTCAGAAGACTGGCTGCCACCATCACCTGGGTCCTTAATGCTTCCCGGTAAGACTCCTTTCCTCCTTGTTGGCTTTCTTTTCTATTCCCTATAAAGGCTATACTATTTCAAACTCTTAGCATTGTCTATGAACTTGTGTCTCCACCATCTCCTGCTATCAGAGCAGAAAAATTAAACTTCCTACTTCAGAAAGACAATAAAAGCCTAAACTTACAAAAGCATTACCTGAACTGATGCCTATCCTTTCCTCTGTCCTTGTTATCATGAATAGATGTTTCTCCTTCTAAGGCCAGACCCTTCTACTGTATTCAAGATCCCATCCCTTTGGGTCATCTCAACCCACTGCAAGGTGGCTTTCACTACCAGCACATAACTCAAAATTGCTTTTGCAAATGAGCTTATTTCTAAATCCAAAGCATTTTTGTCTATGTGTATCTTACTTAACTTCTCAGCAGAATGTGACACTGCTGACCACTACCTCTCTGAAATACTCTGTTCCCTTGGTTACCACATTCAGCTGGTTTCCTTCTAAATTCTGAGCTAAACATGGGTTCCTTCAGGGATTCTTCTTTACTGCCTTTACCTAAAAAGTTGTTGTTTCATGGGGCTTTGTGTCTGACCCTCTGTTTTTTCCACTTTCAACATGCTTCCAGAGCAAGCTCACCCACTCCCAGGACTCTAAGTTGGATCTGCAGTAGTTAATGCCAAATTGATACCTCCATGTCAGACCTTTCACATTTTCGACTGCCTGACATCTTAAAATGGAGATGTCCTGAATCAAACACTGAGCAGCTCCACTGCTCTTCATTCAGTGTTCCTCAACTCAGTGAATATGCTACCAGCTACCCAGAAAGCCTAGTAATGCCAGCAAGTCATTTTGGATACCTCCTTCTCCCTTTCCCTGCCGCTGTGTCTACATAATCACAAAATCCTGTTGAGTCTACCTCCCAAATAGCTCTCCAGTTTATCCAATTTCTTCCACCTCCAGAGCCACAATCATTGCAGAGGCCCAATCTATCTGATGCACATAATAGCCTCACCTTCCCAAAATGCAATTCCGATTATGTTCCATACAAGGCTTTTCCTTGTCCTTAGCATAATGCAACATTCAAGTCCTTCACTGAGGTTTTAAAATGCCCCTGCCGCCAGAAAGTCCAAGAAATACAGTTTTCCCACAATTTTAAGCTTGTGTACATTTAAGTGTCTTCCTGAAACACTATTCCTTACGCCTTCCACTGGGCTATTTCCTACTCATCACTCAGTCAACAAATTGATCTAGAGCATCTTCTAAATACTTAGAATGGTGACCTGAGCATAATGTCTATTAATAATTATCTTAATAGTATATATTTATTGAGGATTTGCTGAGCAGAAAGTATAGTGTTAAGCATGTACTGTATGTTACTTCACTTAATTCTCACAACAATCCTATGAGGTGGGGATCAAGCTATATATCACAGATAAGGAAACTGCAGCAAAGTGTATTTGAGAAATTGCCCAAGGTCAAGTGTTAGGAACTGACAGAACAAGGATTCAAACCCAGGTAGTTCAAATCCAGAGGCTGTACTCTTAAGAAAATACCTGTTGGATAAATAAATCCCTACTCTAGTAAAAATAAAAACCACAAAAACCGGAAGCCAGAATTTTGATCAGTATGTTGATCTATATTCTAGATCAATTTCCTGATACTAATACTTCTGTTTCTTTAAACAGAAAATATTCCCACATACTCTAGACATCTGTGGTTTCCAATCCCTAATTAATTTTATTTGAAGTTCTTAAGAAGCATATTGCAAATAGATTCCTTGAATATACTCTAGACTCTAAACCATGAAAGACTCCAAATAGCCAAAACAATCTTGAGAAAGAGCAAAGCTGGAGGCATCATGCTTCCTGATTTCAAACTGTATTACAAAGCTATAGCAATCAAAACAATATGTATGATAGTGCCATAAAAACAGACACATAGACAAATGGAACAGAATAGAGAGCTCAGAAATAAACCCTATACATATATGATCAACTAATTTACAACAAAGGAACCAGGAAGATACAATAGGGAAAGGATAGTCTGTTCAGTAAATGATGTTGGAAAAACTGGACAGCCATATGCAAAAGAACGAAACTGGGCCACTATCTTACACTATACACAAAAATCAACTCAAACTGATTAAAGACTTGAATGTTAACACCTGAAACCATAAAACTCCTAGAAGAAAACATAGGTGGTAAGCTTGAATCCTTGAATTAGGACCTCTACATTAGGGATCAGTATTTTTTAATAAACTTCTTCTCTTAGGTGTTTTGTTGCTATATAGGTAAATAGCAACACAAAAGTTCTGGGTTTCTTGAATACACTATCAAAAGATAAGAAATGCATAACTATGTAATAAACACATAGGAATACCCGTTCTATTCTCTGTATACCAAGTTTAAGTTGTCATCTTTTAAATTTTACCTTTAATTCCTGTTGTGATGTGAGGGAAGAAGAGGTCACCAGCATCCGTGTTAAGTTTTGAATTTTCTCAATCTGCACTTTTTGAAGTAAATCTTTTTCTTCCAAAAGTTGTGCCATTTGGTCTTTTTCCATTGCCTGGGCTCGAGTCTCTAAAGAAACCTACAGAATGTAATATTGGGTTATGTTAATAACAAATGTAGCTAGATTTTAAAACTTCGAAAGTAGCTTAAAAGAACAGAATAGAAATTTGTATGTGAACTAAGAGAATTTTAATTTTATTGAAATAAAATATACCCTACCTGCAGAACACCAATACACAGTTACCATAATCAGTAATTTCTCAAACTAAAAATAAAGTCAAATATACATTTCTTCTCATGTCACTATTCTATATGCCATTACAATGCTCTTAAAGCAATTCTATTAGTTGCCTAAAAATATATAAATAGTAGGCAGAGAAGTCATAAAAGCAGAGATTTGAATACCTACAGCAAAGGAAGAGATGTTTTCATAAGACTACCATTTGATATTTTAGCTTATTCCTAAAAAGATCACTAAAATGCAAGATTTATATAAAATAGAGGACCATAATAGTTAAAGCAAACAATGACAAGTGATTATGCTATCTTATTAGATTGCTATCTCAGGGTGGAAGAAAAATTCAAGTTAACGTGAAACTAGAGAAAGTAGTTTTAGGTACCTATACATGATCTCTCTTTTTTAACCTAATTCCCTATGTATAATTTGTGACAATTAAAAAAAAAACTTATCTCCACTTGGCCCACTTGAAAATATCAAATTTTCCCCTTTGAAAATGAAAAACAAAATCTATAATAACTTCAAGAAACCAAATCTTTCAGTTTATAGTAAATTAAACTAAAATTTTTATGAGTTGATTTCTTGTTAGTTGAAAGCTGTTTTAAATTTAGGTTGCAAAACTCAGATATTGATGACTTAAGAATCTCTGGGCGATTAGGTAGATCTCAATTCTAAATCTGTCCCTACTCTTTACTGAAATACATGGTTCACACATACCTCCTCTAATTGCTTTTTAAGATCCATTATTTCTTTTCTGTATCTTTTCAGGAGAGCTTCATCATTTGATACCTCATTAACGTAAGGAGTATTCTTCATATGTTTAGCAGTGCTGGCAAACTGGGAAAAAATACAAGAGTGTTATGTGCTCCACACACAAAAATTAAGTAAATTAATAATATTTGGTCTTCTTGTAATTAAGTTTTGTAAAGAAAAATCAGTACTCTTCCCAGGTAGTTTAATACTTTTGAGTACAGAGTGCATTTTATGTCCCTGTAACAATGCCTGTAATGCTCCAGTCAAAAGCCTCTCTCCTTCCTTTGAACGCTATCCTACTTACTAGCTACTTAAGTATTAATCCAAGGCAATCATGTTGGAAGACAGGTCTTATCTTCCCTATAAGACTATACATTCTGTGAAGCCAGGGACTCTATTTTCTATCTGTTTTCTCTGACAGTACCTCGACCCAGTGCTCAGTAGCTATTTAAAGCAATGTTTCTTAGAGTATGAGTATCAGAAGTTACTTTAAGTGGGTACATGAAGGTATCCATTATATAAAACATTGAATCCTTCATTGAGACAGCTATTCTACTGACAATTCAATTCCCCCCTACTCGCCCCTCTCCTTTTTTAAACATAAAATGCAGGCCTTAGGCTCAGTGCAAAGGCAGGCAACAATTAGCAGGAATTTAGGAATTATTTTATTATAAGCACATACACATGTTTTTTGGGTCACCTTCTATTTGTTGCAAGTGATACTAGTTTTTCATTTACGGAACTGATATAACGTTTCCTTTCATAATCAATTAAGTAAAAAAGTGAGTTTGTAAAAGAAAAATATCAAGTCAATTTCAGTAAAATAGTGTTGGATGTGGCAAAAATTGTGGAGGTGGGATATGAATGATTGAATTTTGGGAAAATTAAGAAATGCTATTTAGCAGACAACACGTAATTTTATTTTAACAGGTAGTTATGTGAATTAAAAAACTCTACCTATTTTTAGTAGGTAATTTTTCCTTCTTAAAGATGATATCCCCTCCTATTAAGTTGAGATAAAAATCACACTCACCTGGAGAGTAGTAAGAGTTTCATCAAAAGACACTGGAGTAATTGTGCAGATAATACGTGTTTTTGCATTTCCTCCCAAGGAATTCTGGAGAATTCGTGTTAATTTGCTATCTCGATAATTTATGAAACCACTTAGTGAGAAATGAGTTTGGGAAGAAAAAGAGTAAGAATTTTTATATAACAAAAGTCGTTGGTTCTTAATGTAGAAACTTAAAATAGCTACAGTTAAAAAAATTAATTATTTACAGGTTACATGAAGCAGATAAAAACTACTAACTAAAAAATATTTAAAATATACAAAGTAAATTTAGTAGGACACAATCATATGTATAAGAAGCCAAGCATGATCACAGAGTCATGAAAGCTTTTGAATATATGAAATAAGAACATTTATTTGAGTGTCACTAAAATATTACAATTCTTGACCTAATGAAAACATAAGCATTAACAGATAGAGTACAGTGGGATAAACATACCCAACTTGTCCATCACTAAGTTTCTTGATCACTTGTCCCAAAATAAATAAGCTTCGATTTATATTACAGCCTTCTTTGAGTCGCAAACCTGCATTTATTAAACAAGTATAAAAACTAAAATTGAGCCCTGTACTGGATGATGAACTTATCAGTAAATTATGAGAGAAAGTAGAAATTAAAGGGACAGATGTTGAAGTCCATGCTTTGGACTAGATCTGAGCCCACCTTTAATACCACTGGTGGAGGAGCTCTCTCCCTAACCCTCCCCCAATTAGGTGAATCAGAAAGGTTATCACCTGAGAGAAATGGCAAAATGAAAAAGATGACTAAGAAAAGAATAAGAGGGAGGGAAAGCCCATTGTCTAAAAGAGCTCCTCTAATTCCTCCATTCAAATCTATTTTTTCCAAACCTTCAAATATAGGCAACTATAGGCTCAAAACCAAAAAAAGTTCTCATTTTAATATTGTGAGTATGCTCACATGACTCTAACATTAAAAAAAAGTACCTGGAAAAAGCTCTATTCCAGTTTTATGCCCCAACCAGTTCCTGTTTCCTCTACCAGTAAACCATGTTTATTATTTATTCTTCTAGATTTGTAGAAATACAAGTTCATATATATTCATTTCTCCCCTTTCTTTTTCAGACAAATAGTAGCATACTATACACACTATTCTGCACTTTGCTTTTTTCACTTGGCAGTATATTGTGCATCATATCAGTAAACACTGGTCTTTTTCATTCTTTTTCATAGCATAGAATTCCATTGTATGGATGTATCAGAAATTATTTACCTAGAACCCTGTTGAGGGATATGTAGGTTTTCAATCTACCATGTATACAAAAAATACTGCAATAAATAACTCTGAATAGCTGTTATTTCACAGGTGCATTATTCAGCTATTGCTGTAATATTGCTGCTTAACAAGCCAACTTAAAACAACAGGCATTTATTTCCCGTTCATGGGTCTGGTTTGGTGGATATAGGCCATGCTCAGCTGGGTGTCTTTATGTCAGGCTGCAGGAAATTAACACAGAGAGAGGCTTGACATCTTTATGATTTTGCACCTTCCCATCTAAGTATGCTTTTCCATTTGTTGAAGTATTTGGTTATGTCCTTCAGGTCTGTTTTGAAGTTTTCTTTATTTTGGCCCTGTGCAATTTTTGTTGAGTTTCTTCCTAGGTATTACACCTTTTAAGCCATCATTGTAAATTGAGTCTTTTTGCACACTAAATATTCTAACTGGTTATTTGTATTATAGAATTATTAATGTCTGTATATTAATTTTGTGCCCCACTTCCCTTCTGAATTTTCTTACCTGATATGGAAATTTAGATGGTTTTCATGGTACTCTCACGAGCTTTTCAGCTATACAATCCTATCAACTCTACAGTTCTAGTTTTTTAATTGATGCTATAGTAGCCCAAATTAGATAATTAGCCACATACATAAGCTGCTTTTTACATGAAGGACTTCTATCACAAAATTATTATTGTCATTATTAGTTTCTAAAATGCATGGTAGCACTTTTATTCTGTGAAAGAACAGGAAGACACTCAGACCAACATATTTCATAAGTTTTCATTACCTTCAGCACCTGTTTGAGCAGCTCTTTCACTGCCAGCAAGATCAACCAAATTCTGTAAGACAGATGATAATAAACCTTTAGGAAGCATAATGAGATAAAACCCAAACTACTGAAAGAACATTTAAAACACATAGTTTACTTGAACACCCCATCTGTACCCTCATCTTTCACCCCACTGTTCAGGCCTTCCCTTGTCAAACCGATCTGTAACCCTTGTTCCTTCTTTGTATCCTCCATAATGCCGCCAGAATAGGTTTTCTATTTACTACACAAAGTTCAAAACCTTATCATATGAATGTGATTCTTTGCAGTCTGGCACTTGTGTGGCCCCAGCATTATATCTATTCATTACTTACTCCTAACTCCAGCTGAACTACTCACTACACCCTAAACGCCTCATGTACTTCTACACTCCTAAGTGCTACCTTTTGCCATTCTCTTTGTTACTTCTAAAGTTCTAGATCACCCCTAGTCTTTATTCAGGACCAAAGGCAAATGTTACCTGCTCAATGTAGCTTTGCTGATTTTATCCTTTCTCCTCCCATACCTTGAATGAGTTTTCTTTTGACTGTACCCAGAGGTCATTATAGATGACTTATTCTTACAGCACTTATTGTGTGGAGCTAGTCATTTGTCTCTGACTCTACTGTAGCATCTTTAAAAGCACGGACCTCTTTCATTTCACAAATATTGTTGGAAAAAAGTGACTGTCATGCTTCAGGCAGTATGTTAGGTGCTAGGGATATGGCAATGAATTCGACAAGTAAGGTCCCTGTCCTGATAGAGCTTATATTCTATATGGAGTGGTAAGAGGAGAGGAGGAAGTTGGTGAGAAGACAGAAGAAGACAGATAGGAAACATAACCTGGTAAATGTAATACAGATAATTTAAAGAGAGTCCTGGAAGAGGAAAGAAGGGACAGAGTAGGTTCTCTGGACTGAGTGGTAGGGGTAGACTTCCCATTAAGCTCAGATCTGGAATGACAGAGGGAGGCAGCCATGTAAAACCAAGGGAAGCACAGTGCAGATTAAAAGAGCAGCCAGTACACTCAGTCACAAAACAGAAGTGAGCTTGGTATGCTCAAAAAATAAAAAGGGCAACCTGGCAGAGTTGGTGAAGTGGCGATGGAACACATAGCATAAGAGAAGGAGGTAGGAGTCAGATTATGCAGAGCTTTGTAAGTAGGGGTAAGAACGTTGGATTTTCCAAGCACAATGGGAAGCCAAGAGAGGGCTTTAATCAAAAGAGTGACGTATCTTGATTTAACTTTCTGAAAGATCAACCGTGGTATCCTAGATGGAGAATGAACTGGAGAGGGGCAGAAGTGGCAGCAGTTAGCCCAGTTAGGAGGCTAGTGCAGGAATATAAGTGAGAGATGATGGTGGCTTGGGCTAGGGACGTCGTAGTGGAGACAGTAAGTAGTGGAGGGATGTCCTCTTTGTTTTTTAATCTGAGAGCCCAGTAAATATTATTAATGCATTAAAAGAAAGTCAGAGATTTAAGTTATCTCTCTCTTTGAGGAGTAGGCAGGTAATTATGTACTCCTGCTTTACAGTCCTGTCTCAGATACTGCTTTCTCTAAAATACTCAGAGAAGTCTAATCGTTGTTATATACTATCTAGTACAAGTGACCTAGATACATAATAAAGGGGAAAAGTGGTGATGAAAGCATGAATTAAAGTAAAAAGATGAGGACAAGCATTAGTGTTCTAAGGCACTAAGAAGCTCAGTCTATCTATAAGAGATGAGCTTATGTGGACCAGAAGGAAGCAAAGTAAGACTGGTTAAGCCAGATCTTGTCCAAGGAAATGCCACAGCAAAAGTAGTGCTTAGTAACATTAGAAATCTGCATAACAGACCAAAGAAAGGAAGACTAGAGTCCTAGAGGCCAGGCCCAGGAGAATGACAGAGTAATTCAATAGAGATGAGAACCTAAATGAGTATGACACCCAATGGAATGATGACAGGTAGGATCAGGAAGAAATGGTGATGACTGGAGAAAAGGGAAAGAAAGAAAAAATGAGCCAAAATAGACTTGGGTTTCCAGCCTAGGTGAACAGGATAATGCTAGTATTACTGGAAAAAGGAATATTCATTAGAATAGGAAGAAATTAATTTGGTTTTAGATCCACTGAAGTTTGAGATAACAGTGGGACAATCTTTAGAAAGACAGGAATTAGAACTCAAACTCAATGGTGAAAAACTGAAAGCATTTCCCCTAAGATCAGGAACAAGACAAGGATGAACACTCTCACCACTACTATTCAACATAGTTTTGGAAGTCCTAGCCACGGCAATCAGAGAAGAAAAAGAAATACAAATTGGAAAAGAAGTAAAACGGTCACTGTTTGCAGATGACATGATACTATACACAGAGAATCCTAAAGATGCCACCAGAAAACTACTAGAGCTAATCAATGAATCTGGTAAAGTTTCAGGATACAAAATTAATGCACAGAAATCTCTTGCATTCCTATACACTAATGATGAAAAATCTGAAGGAGAAATTAAGGAAACACTCCCATTTACCACTGCAACAATAAGAATAAAATACCTAGGAATAAACCTACCTAGGGAGACAAAAGACCTGTATGCAGAAAACTGTAAGACACTGATGAAAGAAATTAAAGATGATACAAACAGATGGAGAGATATACCGTGTTCTTGGATTGGAAGAATCAATATTGTGAAAATGACTATCCTACCCAAAGCAATCTACAGATTCAATGCAATCCCTATGAAATTACCAATGGCAGTTTTTTTACAGAACTAGAATAAAAAATCTTAAAATTTGTATGGAGACACAAAAGACCCTGAATAGCCAAAGCAGTCTGGAGGGAAAAAAACGGAGCTAGAGGAATCAGACTCCCTGACTTCAGACTATATTACAAAGCTACAGTAATCAAGACAATATGGTACTGGCACAAAAACAGAAATATAGATCAATGGAACAGGATAGAAAGCCCAGAGATAAACCCATGTACCTATGGTCAATTAATCTATGACAAAGGAGGCAAGGATATACAATGGAGAAAAGAGAGCCTCTTCAATAAGTGGTGCTGGGAAAACTGGACAGCTACATGTAAAAAGAATAAAATTAGAACACTCCCTAACACCATACACAAAAATAAACTCAAAATGGATTAGAGACCTAAATGTAAGACCGTACACTATAAAACTCTTAGAGGAAAACATAGGAAGAACACTGACACAGATCACAGCAAGATCGTTTTTGATCCACCTCCTAAAGTAATGGAAATAAAAACAAAAATAAACAAATGGGACTAAGGAAACATAAAAGTTTTTGCATAGCAAAGGAAACTATAAACAAGACGAAAAGACAACCCTCAGAATGGGAGAAAATATTTGCAAACGAATCAACGATCAAAGGATTAACCTCCAAAATATGTAAACAGCTCATGCAGCTCAATATCCAAAAAACAAACAACCCAATCCAAAAATGGGGAGAAGACGTAAATAGACATTTCTCCAAAGAAGACATACAGTTGGCCAAGAAGCACATGTAAAGCTGCTCAACATCACTAATTATTAGAGAAATGCAAATCAAAACTACAATGAGGTATCACCTCACACCAGTTAGAATGGGCATCATCAGAAAATCTACAAACAACAAATGCTGGAGAGGGTGTGGAGAAAAGGAACTCTCTTGCACTGTTGGTGGGAATGTAAATTGATACAGCCACTATGAAGAACAGGATGGAGGTTCCTTAAAAAACTAAAAATAGAATTACCGTATGACCCAGCAATCCCACTACTGGGCATATACCCAGAGAAAACCATAACTCAAAAAGACATGCACCCCAATGTTCATTGCAGCACTATTTACAATAGACAGGACATGGAAGAATCCTAAATGCCCATCAACACACGAATGGATAAAGAAGATGTGGTACATATATACAATGGAATATTACTCAGCCATAAAAAGGAATGAAATTGGGTTATTTGTAGAGACATGGATGGATCTAGAGACTGTCATACAGAGTGAAATTAAGTCAGAAAGAGAAAAACAAATATCGTATATTAACGCATATTTGTGGAACCTAGAAAAATGGTACCGATGAACCGGTCTGCAGGGCAGAAATTGAGATACAGATGTAGAGAACAAACGTATGGACACAAAGGGGGGAAAGTGGTGGTGGTGGGATGAATTGGGAGATTGGGATTGACATGTATACACTAATATGTATAAAATGGATAACTAATAAGAAACTGCTGTATAAAAAAATAAATAAAATAGAACTCAGAGACATTAGAAACAATAAACATTTGACCATCGTCAACACAGAAATGGTAACAAGGGCAAACAAGGGAAGAAAAGCCACAGAACACTCCTGTGCTTTGATTAGGAGCGTAGTAGGAAAGAAGCCACAAAAGGGAATAAAGGAGCAGAGCTAAGAGCACCTGGATGTTATTATTCCAGAAAGGCCAGGAGACACTCATAAAAAGACCACCTCCAAAGAGCCAGAAAAAGACTCTTTGGGGAAGACTTCTTTCCAAGAAGATACTTAGAGTAAGTGGGAAGTCTGGAGTGTTGGACCAGATGGTTTCTATGGTCCCCAGATGATGGAGCATCAAATAATATAATAAAAGACACCAAACACATCACTGAATATATCAAGCTAAATTATAATTAAATTTAATTATAATTAAACTTAATTTATAATTAAAGCTAAACTATGAGAGAAAAGTTAAAATTGTAGTGATATATCACAGGCTAGGTTTGGAAAACAAAACAGAAGTTAGGTTTTATGTTTTTCGTTGTTGTTAAAGACTAATCTACTAAAATAAATGCTATACTTGTAGAGTAAAATAACTCAGGTGAACTAGAATTAGATACTTAAGACTCTGATTTTTCAAAATCTGAAAAACAAACATATCATAGATTTATTACTTTTTCCCCTGAAGTTTTCAAACCAAATCGAGAAATCTTACATCATATCCCATATCAAACTAAAGAATTTAGGCCTTGAAGACAGAATAAAGCAATAATGGTAAGGAATAGAAAGGAAGCACAAAAAAAGAGAAATGATACAGTGCAGCATGGAGGAATGTTTGCATAATGCTTATATTCACTTATCAACAAATAGGTATTGAATATAAACTATGTACAATGCGTTGGAGTTACAAAGATGAAGGAGATATCACTCTTCCTTTCAAGGGATTTATAGTCTAAAACACTGTTTATAATACAAAGCTTATTTTCTTATTGTACTTAACTATGAACTTGAATAATCTGATTTATTTTTTAACTATCTCACCCAGGTTTTTGTTCATCTCGTAAGTATCAATACCATTGGCAGAGACCAAAAAAACCCTCAAAACCCCAAACACAAAAAAATCACCAAATTCCAAGATTACTTTAACTCTTAAATGTGCATGGAATCAACCCTTCCTCAATTACTAGTTAGGGAAAGCCTCAACTCCTGCAGTTCTTACATCTAAAGTTCAGGAAATGGCAGCTATAAGATCACAGGAAGTAAGATTCTCTGAACTCTTCCCACATTTCCGCTAGTAATCTCATGTTAGTGATGAGACTGAACTACCAATTTATAGATGCTTTTGCCAATTAGTTAACAGTTCTCATGAAACCAGACATACAGCAGCTAAATTAAATTTTGGTTCGGCTCATTTAGTACTTTATCACGGTTCATCAATACTCACCAAATGGGACACCTTGACAGATCCTTCAAAATTAGGTTCACCTTTCTCTCTACTTTCCAAAATCTAGAAAGAAAAGGCAACTTGTAGAAAAATTAGTGTATTTTTAATTGGAAAGACCAAATATAGAGAGAATTACCTACCATCCTAAAAATGGTATGAGAACGACTACTTCTTTGATTCATTTTTGTAATTCCATAATGCCTGTTCTCTGTAAAAGAATCATATTTCAGCTGTGTATATTACAATCCAAAGAAAAACACTAACTTGTATTTAAGTTTAGAAGTGAAAAGTGTGATTTAAAGCCTAAATACATCAATTAAATAGTTTTTACACGTGTTTTGAAGAAATACAGTATAAAGTCTTACTCTCTCCTTTTGTGATCCACTTCAAAGCCATTTCTGATGTATAAACAACTTCTTCTGTGAGATCAGCCACATACACATTCCTCTGAAACAAGTTTAATTATGGGAAAAGTAGAGAACTATAAGTCACTTAAAATTTTGCATTTCAAAAAGAAAGTGCAAAGTATTATAGAATTCATTTGTGGAAGTTAAGAGTAGAAAATGGGCACTTCTGTACAAAAATAACAACTAAATCTATGCTATTTACAATTTATTTCCTGTACCAAAATACACCGAATTCTAACCTGAGACTTCCAGCTTGCTCTTTTTAGGCACTTATGCCACAATATTATAGCTGTCAATATTTAAAAACTATACATGTTACTTAAGAGATAATCTCTATAAATGTTTAAGAAAGAAAATAAAAAACAAATGATAGTAACAGGAGACACTTTAAAATATATAGAAATTAAAGGCAAATGTTCAAGAAAAATAATCCCAATGAGTAACTCTTTTTTGAGCCACTCTGTTACTTACATTGAAGTCTTCCCGAATTATTAAAGGCTTCATTTTCTCAGTGTCACAGAGTAAGTCTGTAATGGTTTCATTGTATATCTCCATGTAAGACACACGTAAAAGAAATTCCCTATCAGGAAACTAGAAGAAAAAGATATGTGAAAACATATCAGAAAACATCAGAGATCATCCAATTATGAAAATCTAATAATGAATGCTTATGTGCTAATATTAAATATTAAAATATTCTTTGAGAAACTATCTTTTAAAACTTTTTATTTATTTATTTATTTTTTGCGGTACGCGGGCCTCTCACTGTTGTGGCCTCTCCCGCTGCGGAGCACAGGCTCCGGACGCGCAGGCTCAGCGGCCATGGCTCACGGGCCCAGCCGCTCCGCGGCATGTGGGATCTTCCCGGACCGGAGCACGAACCCGTGTCCCCTGCATCGGCAGGCGGACTCTCAACCACTGCGCCACCAGGGAAGCCCTAAAAATATTTATTTTTTAGTTGATGTATAGTTGACCTATTTCACTATGTTAGTTCCTGGTGCACAACATAGTGATTCAATATTTCCATACATGTCAAAATGATCACATGATAAGCCTAGTTACCATCTGTCACCATACAAAGATGTTACAATATTATTGACAATATTCCCCATGCTGCACATTTCATCCCTGTGACTCATTTATTTTCTAACTGGACATTTGTACCCTTTAATCTCCCTCACCTATTTCTCTCATTCCTCCAACTTCCCTCCCCTCTGACAACCACCTGTTTGTTCTCTGTATCTATGAGTCTGTTTCTGTTTTGTTTGTTCATTTGTTTTGTTTTTTAGATTCCACATATAAGTGAAGTCATGTGGTACTTGTCTTTCAGGAAATTATCTTTGTAAAACAAACAAAAAACAAAACTTCCCCTGTGCTTCTACATTGATAACAAGCAACAACAACAGTAAAGCATTTTTTCAGAAATAATGAAAAGTATAGTATCATAGAATTATAACAGGAAAATACCCAGTCCAATTCTCTAACCTCAAAATGAAACCTACATATATTCAAGAAATTAAAAATAAAGTAATGATGAAAAAACTAATTTAATACCAGCTCAACTAATTAGCTTGCCTATTCTGACCTTCTGATTCCCTCATCTTTTATCTAGTCTACTTTTTACTGCTCCTTAATAATCACTGGTAGCTAAACAAAGGCAATGAGGACCTAATCATTATGATAAGATTTTCCTGTTCCTTAATGCCCACTTTTTGGTGGGAGTACTGTTTCATGATTCAAAGGAAAGAATGAAAGAACTTTAAGCTTTGTAGTTAGTAAGTTTGTGGGAAAAAAATGAATCTATGCTATGCCTTCCTTCTTTCCTCATGGATAATCAAGAGATAACTATAAATATACTTCATCATTACAAGAGAACACTAAGGTTGCTATCCTATTATCACCACTTTTACCTGCATGTACTAGAAATTTAGCTAAATTATTTACCTTCTTAATTTTTTGGAAAATGTCATGAATTGCCCTGGGTATTACTCCCAAATAATCTTGTGACCCCAACATAGTATATGTTTTTCCTGATGCAGTCTGCCCATAGGCAAATATAGTACCTGCAAAAACAAAACACACACATGCAAAGATTAAAAATGAATCTATAGTGTATAAAACTATCAATACTTGCTAAACAGACCCCCAAGACTGAAATGTTTTTGCAGTGAATACACACCATTGTAGCCTTGTATGGCAGAATCTATGATTGGTACTGCTATTTCTTCATACACATTTTTAGTAGTTTCATTACTATGAAAGACACGATCTAAAAAACAAAACATAAAAGTTAAGTCAAACAAATTAACTGTTTTCATTCTGAATTAGTAGTTGCCCACAGAAATAAAATTGTCAGGATATGGCATGATAAAAGATTTAAGATACAATATTTCCTTCAACTTATTTGTCCTCTGAAAATACTCTTCTCTTTAGGTAAAATGTGTTGGTCCTCACACAGAAAAAATACAAGTCTGTTACCCTATGTGCTTTCAAGAGGCAGTAGGGCATGGTGGCTGAACATGGGGGTCCAGAATCAGACCGCCTGCAAATCTTGGCTCTGCCATTTACAGTGTTATTTTGGCCAAAGTGGTTGATGTCTCCGTGCCTCAGTTCCCTAATGTGTAAAATGGATATATATTATCTTCCTCATAGAATTATTGTGAACATATGTTAATACTTTGGAAGTATAAACTATTACTATTCTTTGAGAAATGTTAATGTTTTTAACATACCTAGCAAGAAGGTCTAGCTCAAACGAAACCAAAAAACGCAGATATTTGGAAGAAAAGTACTGACCAAAGCTGAAGTGCTGCTAAAGGCTGGGTTTAGAGTAGCATTTGCACTGATAAATTCACAAGTCCAGGATGTGGTTCTCTGCTTTTGTTAGCACATTAAAAATAGACCACTCTTTTAGCAGTGCCCTCACATTAAAAAGCTCACAAGAAATGGATTTGTAAATCAGGAGGGTAATGTACTGACCTACAATGAGAAATTCAGTGATCACACTGCTTGCACCATGACCACACATCTGCCCTATGGGCAGAACAATATGGAAAACCAAAGTGCCCTCTGTAGGCTGCTTAAGGGTCATGATTTTAGAGCAAGGAGAAATGGCAGGGTGATTCAAACTTTAATGTTATCTGTTTCAGACAGCTGGATGAGTCCAAAACCTGCATGGGCGTATATGGCTACTGAGAATCTGTGGTACTTAGGTTTTATAATCTCTGGCACATATTACCTTTTAAAAATTATGTTAATACCACCAAACATTCCTTTACCAGGAATCATTTTCTCTTCTGCGTATCTTTGTGGCTTTCTAGTTAAACACTAATTGGACAACTTAATCACTTACTCCTGAGGTTGGTGACAGGCCGTCACTGTTGCTCTATGGTGCCTAAGTGGCAGCATGGTAGTGTGGCTGGAACACAGATCTGGAGCCTGACTCTTTCATTTGCTGGCTGTGTGACTCCAGGCCTCTCTGATTCCTCATTAAAATGGGAAGGTACCAAATTTATATAAGCTTTTTAGGAGGATTAAATGAGTTAATATATATGAAGTGCTTAGAACAGTGCCTGGCACATTGTCAGCACTATATACATGCTAAATCAATACACAAATCAACCTAGTTAACTGATAGGTCCTCCAAGTCCCTTTGTCCTAGCTAACTCTCACTCATCCTGCAGGTCCCAGTGTAAGTGGTACCATTTCAGACACCTAGATTAGTTAGATCCCTGCTATAAACTCCCACAAAGCTTATGTCATCATAAGTGTAAAAACTTGTGTAAAGCCTTTCTTTCCACCAAATAAGATCCACAAAAGCAGAGATAGGTCCCCACTGTATTCTACCAGACAAAGAAGGAATATCTTCACTATTTATTCTTTAAAAAGTTTTGAAAAACAACTGGAAAAAAAAAAAAAAGAAAATAAACAACAAAAAAAGAAACAACAACAACAAAGAAACCAAACTGGAAGATCTTAAAGATGACTTGACATTAAATAACATATTTTGGGCTTACAGAGTTTTACGCCACAAGTACGTTGACGAATAAGAGGAAAAATGTTAATTTCAGTTAAAAGGCACTATGACTATAACTGTGTTTAATTTTTTATTTACTTATTATTATTTTTTATTATTGCTATGTTTTAAGTGTCAGTTTATTATCTTACTTAGCATACATGAATGAACAATTTTTCAAAGTTTCCACTGAAGCAGTTTACTGAAGGCTTAGTTTGATCTTTAGTGACAAATCCAGTGTTATTCATAAGGCTTTTGTACTCATAACAGAAAAATGATACCAGGTTAACTTTTGATGCTGTTATAAACTTACCAAAATTGAAGGATTTACTCCCATCAACTTGATAAATTGTATTATTGTCAGTTTTCCAGTAAACTTGAGTATCTTTTCCAAGCGCCTCTTCTCTAAAAGAATAAAAAAACTGCATTTTAGAATAACTGGTCACAGAAGTTGTGTTACATGAAAGATAACTGAAAAGACCTCATCTTCTGATGAATATTTTAAAAGATGGTAATGACGTATACCATAAATAGGATAAATGTGGAAAATCCACCTTTGAGGGGTCAAAGGTGGATTTTAAATGGGGCTTTGTGACCTCCTGCACTTTCATGGGAGTTTCTTTGTGAAGCTCTTCACTTCCACCTTCCAACGCAGTACTGGCAGCTGAAAAGATACGTTGAAAATGCAACTCTGGTTATGTCCCTCCTGCTTAAAGCCTTTAAAAACCATCTGAAATCCTTAATTTGGCACATGACACCTGGATCATTGTAATTTCTCTCTTCGAGCCATATCTTCCTCTAAATTCCTATATACACCCTAACTCCATACAAATCAACTGCCTGAAGGTCACTCCAAAATAAGATTCGACCCCTCTCTGCCTGGAATACCCTGACTTATGTTTCCATTAACTAACTTAACTGTTCTTTCATTCATGAAAAGTATCAGGAGTTTCCTACACAGCCCTGTCCCTCCCCTAAACTGTCTCACTTAAGGACTAAAGACTCCTCTAGCAAACATTCTCCACCTGTCTATCATAACACCTGTCATGATGTATTATAATGCTTTATGTAGATTTCTTCTAATGCATTAATGAGCTTCTTAAAAATAGGAAATTCCTCATTTTGATATTTTTATTTATTAAACACCCAGTAATGGTTAACAAATGTTTCTCAAACAAAATGTGTCAGCATTCTGGGGCAAAGGCCCGAGACAGGCAAAGCAAACAGACTTCATTTTCATTTCTGCCCCTTCCTGTTTTTTCTCTATAGCATTTATTACTCCAGTATCATCCCTTAATATTCTATATTTTTCACTTTATTTTCTGTCTACCCCTTTAGAACGTAAGATCCACTGGGCAACGATGGTAGTGTGTGTTTAGTACAGTACACTGAACTAAAAAAAAAATCAATTTTGATGAATATCGGTCATTCAACCTGAACGTGGAGTTCACTCACTGAAGTGTTGAGGGTCTACCGAATACAATGGAAGAAGACTGACTAGTTCTTGCGCTCAAGGAGTATACAGTAAAGGGGGACAGAGCGTCAGTTAAATGTAAAATGACTAGCTGTGAAGAGTGCCAGTAAGGATTTTTCCTATGCGACTTTCCTGGGGGAGGGATGGGGAGCGCAGATGGGGGGACGGCAGAGCAGCGCAGGGAGTAGGGTTTTTAATGTCGGCGAGCCGGAGTTATAGACTTAAGAGAATCCCACAGCTGGAAAGTATCCTCTAGATCCTCCGATCCTGGCCCGTCACTTTACACATAAGAAACCAAGGCACAAAGCGGGTCAATGGCCGAGTTTCTAGGCAGCGGAGCAGGAAGGAGCAGCGAGGACTCACTCCTGCGGCTCGGGCCCGGGCCGGAGGCCGCAACGGGAACCTGGGCAAGGTCTGGCCCACCTACCTGCTGTTGAGCGGCCGAACCCGCACGCAGACGGCGACGGCGACGGCTCCTTCATCGGCCATCCTGCCGGGCTGGATCCCAGGAAACTGTACAAAAACCTCCGCGCCCGGCGCTTCTGAGCGTAAGATCCACCCCGCCTTTAAATTTAAAATTTCCCAAACGCCGCGTCTGATTGAGCCGCGGCCTCGTGACGTCATAGGCCGTTCCATTTGCGTCGCGGCGCGGGGGACGCCGGGCCGGCGGCGTGTCCACGGATAAGGGTTGGGGGAGCAGTTATAAGGGTCTGGAGGAAAAGGAAGCTTGGGGCTCGCAGAGAGTGGGTCCGGATAGCCTGTGGCCAGAGGCTCTTAAGGTAATAGCAGAGATAACTATTGTTTGCTAAACGCCGTTGAAGTGCTGGCAGCCGTTTACAAACGCAATCCTCCACCCCATCCTTCAAGAGTTTGCAATCTGTGGAAAAACAAAGCCGAGAATTTTTTCTTCACTAACAAAAGAGAATTAGGACCTTTAAAGAATTACACTGTTTTTTTTTTGTTTTGTTTTTTTAATTTAAAACAAAACAGGGCTTTCCTGGTGGCGCAGTGGTTGAGAGTCCGCCTGCCGAGGCAGGGGACACGGGTTCGTGCCCCGGTCCGGGAAGATCCCACACGCCGCGGAGCGGCTGGGCCCGTGAGCCATGGCCGCTGAGCCTGCGCGTCCGGAGCCTGTGCTCCGCAGCGGGAGAGGCCACAACAGTGAGAGGCCCGCGTACCGAAAACAAAACAAAACAAAACAAAAAGATACTTCAAATGCCAAGAGTTGAAAGTTACTGCCCAGCCCAGAAACAGAAGACTCGTGTGCTCCTTGGAAACTCTTGAGTTTAAGTTTTTCCTTTTCCTCTCTTTTTGCGGTACGCGGGCCTCTCACTGTTGTGGCCTCTCCCGTTGCGGAGCACAGGCTCCTGACGCGCAGGCTCAGCGGCCATGGCTCACGGGCCCAGTCGCTCCGCGGCATGTGGGATCTTCCCGGACCGGGGCACGAACCCGTGTCCTCTGCATCGGCAGGCGGACTCTCAACCACTGTGCCACCAGGGAAGACCCCTCTCTTTTTCTTTAAACTCCTTTTTTCCATTTTCTGTGAGTTCCTAAGAGGTTGACTTAGGAAAAGAATTATTGAAGACTGGAAAAAACTCGTTTAGTAGTGAGGTGAAACACTTTTTTAGCAGAAATGGGAAAGTGATTCTAAATAATTCTTTCCCAGAAATAGTGCTTGGTTTCCTTTGTTTTAAATATGTGTCATAGTAAAGTATAAACATTTTATTTGGGAGTAGTTTCAGTTTTAGTTGATTTAAGAAGGATCAAGAATTATCCCCTTTTCCCTCACCAAAAATATGACCTGCAGTTACTAATAATTGTTCATTATTTAGAGGATTAGAAAACTATTGATTTAGTAAAACTATTTTGGAAGGTAATCTGGCAATATTAATAAAAAACTGAATTGCTGTCCTTTATGCCAGCAATCCTGCTTTTAAGGATTCATTTATAGATGTATGAAGAGTCTTGCTATATAGCCATATAGCTATTACTGTAGTTGCAGCATCAGATATAGTTAGCAAATGACAGGAAACATATTGTGTCAATTAATAGGAAATGGATGACATTTTATCACTACAATGAAACATTATGTGGCGAGTATAAAGAATGATACAGCTCTTTATGTGTACTTTAGAAAGTCATACAAGATGTTTCATTAGCTGGAAGAAACCCAAGAGGCAGAATTGTGTGCACAGTATGGTGCTATTTGATATTTTCAAAGGATATTTATATGTCTGCCTATGCATACATAATTTCTGGAAAGATACACAGAATATACCTAGTTTCCTTAGAGAGGGAGGACTAAGAGAAAATACCTATTTTTCATTGTATACTATTCTGTAATTATTAATATTTTATGCATGCAAATATTAAGTAGTTTCATTCAACTTAAAGAAACTAGCTAGTAGAAAAAAAGTAAATAAAAATGAGTTTGTTCATTCAACATTTGTTTTGGTTAACCAAGAGTAGCCTAACCAAAATACTACGCTTTTTTTGAGGCTGAACTGTGAAAATACTTGGCTGTATCTAATAAGATAATACAGAGTTAAAAAAAGTGTGTTTTAACTGATTTTTAAAAAACGGTGGGCAAATATTGCACATTTTTAGCTAAAAGAAAGGAGCCTGTGAAGAGGAGGAAGGGACATATAATTAATGAAAGAAAGTCTCTAACAAAAAAAGGGGAATTGATTCAAGAGCACAGAGGATTAGCCTTTCATATTTGTGCTCATGATTGATGCCATGGCTGTTTTTGTTACCATGATAACAGCTGACGTTTATTGAAGATTTACTATTGCCAGGGGCTCTGTTATATGCTCTACATGCATTTTTTTCATTTACTTTTTCAAATATGTCATGAAGAAATTTTCATTGAGCACCTACTATATGCCAGATGTGGTTCTAGGCTTATGAGGCACAGAGTGAATAGACTAGAAAAGTACCTGCTTTCGTAGAGCTATTATTCTCTATGAAACGTTCTTGTGGGAAGAAGCAAACAATGCATAATAAATGTGTAAGTAACTTATGAGGAGAGCATGGGCCACTGTAGGTAGGGTACTCAAGAAAGGCCTAGGGGGGATGGTTGAGGCCTTGTATGTTAAGAATTAGCCAGACTTGGGAGGGTGGGAGAGAGGGCTTACCAGATGGAGTGACAAGTAAGTCAAAGGACCCAAGGCTTGTGTAAGTTTGTCATGTGTCTGAGGCACAGAGGGAAGGCCCCCGTGGCTTGAGCATTTGGGGCGATGAAGAAATGTCCTGTGGGATCTTGTCATGTTAAAATGTTATTCTAATAGTGAGGGGAAGCCTATAGAAGGTTTTATGCAAGGGAGTGAAAAGGGATTCACTAATTCCTTCAAACAAGATTTTCTTTTCTATTTCATTACGAAAATAGAAGCAGCCAGAAGAAACCTTGCACTGATTCCTGCCAACCTGTCTACCCACGTAACGTCTGTGCCCATTTACCTCGTCTTCCAGATTTTAAATAGATGAAGAACTGTCTGTCCTCCACTCTGAAAGTCTCTCCACGTGTGCACTAGATCCTACCCCTTCCCTCTTACTCTTGTCTGTCTCGCATAGTCATTTCCCCCGCTTTAATAAACCGGTCTCATCAGCAAACATATGCCTTTATTTCTCCCATCTTGGATATTTAATAAATACTACAAACTTTCTAATATCAAAACCTGCTAATATCAGAACTTTCTAATATCAAGTTTTCCCCTCAAAACCTGCTTGCTCCACAGTTTTCTCTGCAGGTTACTTTGCGGCAAATCCACTCTTTCAGTTACCCAGGTCATAAACTATGGACTCATCATGCTTGACTTCTTTTCTCTCAGAGTTTACATTCAATGTGTCTGAATGTCTGTTGGGGCTACCTAGAGAATATTTCAGAATATGAGCATTTATCACAACTTCTGCTATCCGCCTGGTCCAAAATACCATCTCTTCCTGGTCTTCACGTTCTACGTTTGTGTTGCCCCCTGCTACCCCCCAACTCTGGTCTATTCTCAACCTAGCAAATTGAATGATCTTTTAAAAATGTAAGTTAGGTGATGTTAATCCTCTCTCAAGACCCCCAGTGCCACCCCACCTGGATTTTTTTCAGGATAAAACCTATAGTCTCAGCTGTCTCCCAAGCCTCACGTGACATTGCCCCTTGTTGCCCCTCTGGCCTTCCCTGCTGCCACTCTACCTTTTGCTCTCTCCCCTCTAGCCACAGCAGCCTCTTTGTAGTTTATTGGATACTGGACTGGCTCCCTCTTAAGGCCTTTGCACTGGCTACTCTGCCTGGTGGGCTCTTACCCCAGATTTCCATGTTTTCTTCTTCCATTTAATTCTGGCATCTGCTCAGATGTCACCTTCTCAGAACTCTGTCTGTATAAAATAACAACTCTCTTGTGTACTACTTCTGTTTCTTTACTCTTCTTTCAAAATATTACTTATGTCTTTCTGATATAATATATATGTATTAATTTATGTCTTCTCCCACCAGAGTGTCATCTCTGTGAGGTTAGAAACTTAGTTTTTTTGTAATAAATTTATTTTATTTATTTATTTTTGGCTGCGTTGGGTCTTCATTGCTGTGCGTGGGCTTTCTCTAGTTGCGGTGAGCGGGGGGCTACTCTTCATTGCGGTGCGCGGGCTTCTCATTGCGGTGGCTTCGGGCTCTAGAGCACAGGCTCAGTAGTTGTGGCGCACGGGCTTAGTTGCTCTGCGGCATGTGGGATCTTCCCGCACCTGTGTTACTTTATTACTGTAAAATTTTCTTAACCAAAATTTGGTGAATTTCACTAGTCAGTCTACCTCACATTTTGTTTATGATTCTAAATTGTCTTAAATTGTGTCTACAGTATGTTCTTGTCCTTTAATTTGGTGAATGTATTAAAATTCTGTGTCCTCAGCATTGGCAGCTGGATTCTTAACCACTGCGCCACCAGGGAAGCCTAGCAACTTTGTTTTTATTTACTCCTTATACCCTGCCCTGGAAAGATACTTGCAGTTTAGTAAACATTCAATTTAAAAAATTGCTTATTCAATTACTCAATAAATTGATATATTTATTACTCAATAATATTGCCTATAAATTAAAATATTCAATTGTTCAATAATATTGACATAATTTCTGAAAAGATACATGGAATACACTTAATTTCCTTTGGAGGGGAGCACTGAGTTAGAAAACAAACCTACCTTTCATTGTATACTATTTCATAATTATTAATATCTTAGTGAATGTTGATTACTTTCTCCCAAATTTAAGAGATTAGTTAGTAGATAAAAACTGTAAATAAAATAGTCTACTCTTTTGTAGTCTATTCAATATTGCTTTGGTTAAGCAAATGTGAGCTAGTGTAGACTACTTTTCTCACAGCTAAATTGTGAAGATGCTGGGTATATCTAATAAGATAACACAGAGTTAAAGAAGCTATGTTTTCATTTAAATTAAGTGGTTAGGGAGGGCAAAGAAATTTGTTAAAGATAAACAAGGGCATATTAAAAATTTTAAGAGTCTGTTTGATCAAAAGCTGATTTGAATCAGGCAGCAT